TAGGTCCCGTAAGTTATCCGTACTTACTTCTTCCCTAGTATATAACAATGAGCATGCCTCCGAACTTATGTTTATAATAGCGTTGCTCATCATCTTCAGAATTGTGGTAGTTGTAATCATGACATTACCAGCATGCAGAAAACTCATTCAACCACTTAGACTAATGGTTTATTTGCATGTACGTGTCGCTAGACCGCTAGTTTTCATAGGATGTTGCAGGTTGCGGCTCGTTTACATCACGTAAATATCTGACATGTGATGACTATATGACAGCGAAAATGAACATTAATGAATAATTATTCTGATCAAGTCATTGGTGTAATAGACTATTCAGAACATACTCGCCAACTTAGTCAGCGACGTTTACCAAGTCCATCAAATCAATTAGAGTTCGAAGTGTTCCTAAAGGACGTAGCTTACAGATCGTGTTAAGTTCGAAGTAGGCTCCAACCACTTTGTGGTTTAAGGTTTATCCAAAACATAGGATGACTCATGTGACTATTAGTAGTGGGGATTATAAGAGACAAATCTAGGAGAAAGAACCAATAAATCAGAAAACAAACTTAAAGCTCTTAATTTTGTCTGAGTAAACGACCGGAAAAATAGGAGAATTCAAAAGTGTGGGTTTAAGGAGTTCTGATAGTCTTAACTAGAAGTCAATATGACAAGTTCTCAAATGCGCTACATGCACGATTTTCCACATCCGTCGTGGAATTAAAACAAAAATAAAAACAAACTTTCCTCATTTTGAGCTCTGCACGCGCGCTATTTAAAAAGGACAGTGGTATTTTTCCTCGTGGAGTAAATTCTATTGTTTTGATCGTTATTAACGTATCAAGACTACTGTTTTTATACTTTGATTGAATTTCTTTCAGTTAAAGTATTCTATTAGAGTATCATCTTTGGTATCCTAAATAGTTTTATCGTCGGTACTCCAGAGTACTTTTTTTTCCATTGTGTCTGTTAGTACTTTGGTCCTAACTGTTTATAGTTTTTTTTTCTACTTATAGTCAACGCTCACTTTCGCATCTTAAAATGACTGGAAGATGCAACAAAAGCATTTGCCACCGCCCAGGATGTCGATATACTGTTGATAGCGGCATGCAGTGCGATGAGTGCAAAGGTTGGTACCACGATGTTTGCACGAATCTAACACCTGCAGCTTTCAAGCGGTTTAGTAAAAATGGATGTGTATGGCTATGTCAACAGTGCTGTTTGGATGCAAATAGCCTGCTAACTGAGGCCATTTCAATGGTAAATGCCGCAAAAAAGTGTCTCGGCAAGCGCGGTCGGGATACATCAGTCAGAACTCAATCTGTCGACACGCAGATTGACACAAGGCAGGCCCAAGTGAGTCCAAAAACTGCCGACCCACACCCTACTAAGGAGGAAGAACATCCTCCAAAGAGGACTGTTACAACCAGAAACTCGCGCAAAAAAGTCTCTTCTGTCCCTCGTATCAAAAATGGTACCCAGAAGGGAACTTCAGGAAGCCGAAACCGCAAGGCTCGATCGGTTTCCAGCGCGAAAGATGACCCGATCTCCCAAGTCGTCCTGACTCTTACGGAATCCCACAGTACGCCTGACGCGAATGTGGTTACCACTCCAAAGAACGTTGGCGATTGGGTACGGGTCGTAAGAAAAAAACGCCAAAATGACGTAAAAGGAAGTCATACCCCCACCAAAAGGGTCGACAAGCCGAGGTCTGATCACAGCGACAGATCAGTCATTCTCCATAGAGTCAAGGAGAGTGACAACTTAGAACCGAAAGCTCGTTTTGAGCATGACGTTGTGTTGATAAAACAACTACTCAACCAAGTTATGCCCAAAAACATCCCCGGAGTCACCTTGCTAAAGGTGTATAGATTAGGAAATCTAGCGCATCTGAAACCAAATCAGTCTAGACTACTCAAAGTCGTTTTCAAATCCTCAAACGAACGCGACTTAATCTTAGAAAATGGACACAAATTAAAGGGTTCAGGAGTTTTTCTCCGTAAGGACTTACCGTTGGCGGACCGTGTTAAAAGACGGGAAGCCGAAAAGGAACTACAGCTCAGATTAGACGCTGGCGAAAAAGACCTGAAAATTGTAAATTTTCGGGTTGTGAGGCTTCGACAGAGGATGATGCCGAAGCCACTCTGGGTGAAGCACGAGGCCACCTAAATAGGCTTCGGATCTGTTATACCAACGCCCGGAGCTTACTAAATAAGCTACCGGAACTAGGTGTACAGATTGACTCAACTAGGCCAGACATAATCGCAGTCACAGAAACATGGCTGACGCCGTCTATAGATAGTAGGGAACTTGATTTCGTGGGTTTTACATTGGTAAGGGCCGATAGAATACAAACGCGTAAAGGAGGGGGAGTAGCTCTATTCATTAGGAATGCTATTCCATTCACCATTATCGACAGTGTATCCCATGAGAGTGGGACGTATGAATTAGTTTGCTGCCGCCTGAAATGCAGGGGACAAGAGTTACTACTTAGTTTGATCTATCGCAGTCCAAGCTGTGAGGCAAACGAGGTCCTGCTAAGCAGTCTCAACACTTTATCACGAAGTGATCGATGTCTAATCTTAGGGGACTTCAATGCACCCATGGTGGACTGGGGAAATCTTCGGACTGAATCGTCAGCAAACTCCTTCGAACAGGAACTAGTTGATGCGATAATCACTTGTGCTCTAGTGCAACACGTGAAGGAAGCAACTAGGTACGACCCGGGTTCTGCATCATCCTTACTAGATCTTATATTGACTCATTATGAGGATGATGTTGCAAACCTGGATTACATGCCACCCTTAGGCAAAAGTGATCATGCAGTTTTAAGCTTTGACTTTCATATCACTGTCGATCACGAGTACGCTTCAGCTCAATCCAGACCTAACGTCTGGAAAGAAAACATAGCAGACATCATGAAATCAGCATCATTAGTAGATTGGAAATTAGATCCAGAGTCATCAGTCGAAACGGCTTGGGACGTATTCCGGAATTTATACTTAAAAGTTACCGCCCCCCACATCCCTTGGACTACACCTAAGAGACCGAGAAACTCCCCACCGTGGTTCAGTAGGGAGGTTCGCATCCTTCTCCGTAAAAGAAGGAAAATATGGGACAGATTTAGGTTACTGGGGACTGACGAGGCGAAATCTCAGTATCAAAAGGCTCGAAATACCTGTGCCTCGACCCTCCGTAAGGCCAGAAAGCTGTACGAAGAGAAAATCGTAAGGGAATCCATAGAATGCCCTAAACGCTTGTATTCGTATATAAACCAAAGGACAAAAAGAAGAAGAAATGTTCCTTCATTATGGGGAGACAGTACTGCCACATCACTAGTGGAGGATGACTTTGGCAAAGCTCAAGTATTCTCTAAATACTTTAGCGATGTATACACCATAGAAACACCCTTCTCACCAGTCCATGAAAATCCACCCACACAAGCACTGGACAGCGTAACCATTGAAGAACTCGATGTTTTTGGTCTGCTAGTTAAGCTTGACATAGGTAAATCCACTGGACCCGATGAACTGCATCCTAGGTTACTAAAGGAATTAGCTAACTTTGTTGCGAATCCTTTAAGTGTATGTTTTAATCTATCCGTAACCCAGGGTCGTCTACCAAAAGACTGGAAGAACGCCATAGTAAGTCCAGTCTTCAAAACAGGTACAAAACATAAGCCTGAGAATTACCGACCAATTAGCCTAACTAGTGTGGTTGTTAAAATCTTAGAAAAGATTATTCGGAAGGAACTGTTAAAGTATCTCGATGAAAACCGGATCCTCTCCGAAAAGCAGCATGGTTTTAGAACAGGTTACTCTTGTCTCACAAACTTATTAGTCGCTCGTGAAAGCTGGTGCGCTCTTAAGGACCAAAAGTCACCTGTAGACGTAGCTTACATCGATTTCAGCAAAGCCTTCGACAAAGTTCCGCATAACCGGCTGTTATATAAGCTAAGGAATGTCGGGATTGGAGGCAATCTATTGATGTGGATAAAAGACTTCCTAGTTGGGCGTCAACAAAGAGTAAGGGTGAACTCCAAGTTGTCTAGCTGGGAAACTGTGCTTAGTGGAGTCCCCCAAGGTACAGTTTTGGGGCCAGTGTTATTCCTCCTGTACGTAAATGATCTCCCTCGTCTACTATCGTCATCGGTCTTACTCTATGCTGATGATGTCAAGATATGGAGAGCGATACAAAGCAAGAGCGATAGCTTAGAACTTCAAAATGACCTGGAGAGATTATCTGAATGGTCCCAAACCTGGCAATTGCCGATAAACACTTCCAAGTGTATTGTGATGCATATTGGCCATCAGGGTACAGATACATACACGATGAATAACACTGAGTTACCTATTGTTCAGGCACACAATGACTTAGGCGTCATCGTTAGTCAAGACTTAAAGACTACTGCACACTGCCGTGCAATAGCCGCCAAAGGTTTTAGGACTTTATGGTCCATACGCAGGGCTTTTAGGCATCTTGACGCTAAAACGTTTCTGACTTTGTATACAGTGTTCGTACGCCCTAAACTTGAGTACTGTATACAAGCAGCTAACCCCTGCCTAAAAAAAGACAGTGAACTCTTGGAAAGAGTTCAGAGAACAGCAACTAGGCTGATTCCCGGAATAGCGAAGCTCCCGTATGGTACTAGACTGACCAAGCTAAACCTATTCCCGCTGTCATATAGAAGAATCAGAGGTGACTTGATTATAGTTTTCAAATTGCTAAATGACAAATTTGCACCTGATATGCCCTCATTTTTCCTGTCTTCCAAAACAGAAAATCTACGAGGACACTCCAAAAAAGTTCACAAGCCCAGAACGAATTACTTGTCAGCTGACTACCGACTTTCCCATCGAATAATCAACGAGTGGAATTCATTACCTCAGCACGTGGTTGAGGCTCCATCCGTCGACTCCTTCAAAAGAAAGTTGGATCAGCTGAGAGACCATCATTACCAGGACTAACACAGGCCACCAAGCCTCCTGTCCTTTCCAAACTGAAACTGAAACTGAAACTGCAGTATTAGACATTGGACAGAATTTTGTTTGTCAGCTCTACAAATGACCTGCGCTTGTTTCAGTGGACGTCGGTTTGGCAATATCGGTGGTCTTTTGTAATCCTTGGTATCCTGTTGTTTAATATTTTTAAGAATGCGTCCTACCCGACGTCAGTCGCATAATCGTAAGAAGTGTGTAAGTAAGAATGTCTTTACTTAGCGCTAATAGGTGTGCTTTATAATATTTTTACCATGTACAAATATTATCACTTAAACGTCAGTTGAAGTGTTCAGTTTTTACCACTTATGTGTGTTCAAGGTGTGTCATCGTTAACATGACTTCTAAAATCTCAAGATGTCGTGTTGCTATTAGACATTTTGACTATTTCAAGGGGCTCTTGATTTTTTAGATTTCTGGACTTGAGTGTTTCTGACTGTCCGAATTTCTCTTGTGTACTTACTAAAGTTTTAGAATGCTATATTCGGGTGAATTAAGTCTTTTTTCTGCAATTGCTATAAAGGTGGTGTCATTTTCATTTCTAGCTTTTGCTTAATTAAAATATAACGCTGTGGTTGTTAGTAGTCACCACTGTGGCCCAAATAATTCCGTCACTTGTTTTGAGGATATTTGATGATTTAAGAATACACTAGGCATTGTTTCTTTGTTTGGCAGTCCGACACAATCAGACTAGGAAAATGATGCATTTAGTTTTCCGTTCCTAATCTCTGGGTCCTTCAGTCAGTCAGTCACAACGTAGAACTTCGTACGTACGTACATCAGTTCGAGTTGCCATACCACATTAGCACAGAGATGCAGTTGTCGATTCAATTCCCATAGTGGTAGAAGTGGTAGGAGTATAATCAGAAATCCAAAAGATTAAGGTTTGAAGAAATTATTGAAGGAGTATAGTACAGTGAAATAAATTTGGAAAGAGAAAAGATAAATACATGAGGAATTCAGAAGATTAGAATTTGGTAGAACACAAAGAGTGGATGCACCTTCGCCATTGCAAACGATTTTGAGCCATGTCATTCAAGGTCTCTAACCATCGGTTGCTGTCATCTCGCGAATCCCAACCAGGTAGTCTACACCTACCAACATGGCCCAGTCCACTTGTCAGTGACTTCATTGATTTGTGCCACGTTCTGGTCTGGCCACCCCTAGCTTTCTTCCAACCTACTCCTACACCATGAAACTTTGCACGTCGGGGCAGTCGGTGGTCGGGCATACGTAACACATGTCCCAGCCATCTCAACTGATGAAGTTTCACTACTTCATCAATCGATTTGCCATCCCTACCTAGCACTCGTTTCCTAACAACTGCATTACTTACCCGGTGGTCCCAGGATATACGAGTAATGCTTCAAAGACACCTATGATCGAACACTAGTAGTCTACGAATATCCTCTACTCTTATTGGCCATGTTTCACTGCCATAAAGTAGGACGGAGCGAACTGCTGCACAGTAAACCCGTCCTTTGGTTGCTAGACGGATATCTCGCCTACTCCATAAATGACGCAAGTTGGCGAAAGCTAGACGAGCCTTCTGTATCCGTGCTGAGATTTCGTCACATACCAGACCACAAGGGCTGATGAGACTCCCAAGATAAGTGAAGTGGTCTACACGCTCAACTACTTCACTCCCTATCATTAGTTCAGGTGTCGCTGCAACCCAATCCTGAAGTAACATTTTGCACTTCGAGGGAGAGAATCGCATTCCGAACATGCCTGCATAGTTGCTTATAGTAGTCAGAAGACTCTGCATGTTGTCAGCGTCTTCACCGAGTAAAACTATGTCGTCGGCGTATTCTAAGTCAACAAGTGAGCCTCCTGGTAAAAGTTCAACTCCTGGAGGTTTAGCTGATGAAAGTGCTATCTCTAAAAGTATGTCAATGACAAAGTTAAACAAGAATGGGGAGAGTGGACAGCCCTGACGAACGCCACTTGTGGTAATCAGTTCTGATGACAGTTCGCTATAGGCTCTAACTCGACCAGTTGTGTTCGAGTAGAGAGCCTTTATGAGGTTAATGTACTTCTTTGGTACTCCTTTCAGTGACAAACATTGCCATAGAACCTCACGATCAACAGAGTCAAATGCCGCCTTAAGGTCAAGAAATACTACTATTGTGGGACGTCTGAATTTGTGTCTATGTTCTAGAACCTGACGTAGGGTGAATATCTGGTCTATGCAACCACGTCCAGGTCGAAAACCAGCCTGGTTTTCTCTAGTCTGCTCTTCACGATCTTTGGTTAGGCGACCTAGTATTATTGAAGCTAATATTTTAGACACCATATTAGTCAAACTAATCCCTCTTTGATTGTCACAAGAGGACTTTTGTCCTTTCTTATAGACTGGCACAATCAGTGATTGGGACCAGTCAGATGGAATTACGTCCAGTTCCCAGATTCTACCTAAGACCTCAGTCAATCTCTCTGCTAGTACTGGACCACCATCCTTAAAAATCTCAGGGGTCAACCTGTCAGGGCCTGCTGCTCTCCCTCGCTTCAGATTTCCTATAGCTTTTTCAACCTCACAGAGTGTTGGAGGACTTACATCAATTTGCCATTCAGGACGACTGGGGATCGTGGGTAATTGAAGTGTGGCTGAAGGCCAGTTGAACTGATCCCTAAAGTGTTCTGCCCATCGATCCAATCTCCTGGATTGAGAATGAATAATATGCCCATCTTTATCTGAGATGGTTTCACTGATATTTGGGTTCCTAATACCGGTTTCTTTAACGAGTCTGGGTCCTTAAATAATGTTAACATCAGAGCCTTTCACACTTTTTGGGACATTTCTGGTAAACCATAAATATTCGTAGGCTACCAGTATTCGACCATAGGTGTCTTCGAAATATTGCTCTTATATCCTGGGATCACCGAGTAAGCAATGTAGTTGTTGGGAAAGGGGTACTAGGTAAGGATGGCAAATCGGTTGAAGTGGCGAAACTTTATCAGTTGAGATGGCTGGGTCACGTATGTCCAACCACCGACTGCGCAATGTTTTATGATGTTGGAGTAGATTGGAAGAAAGCTAGGGGTGGCCAGACCAAAACGTGGCACAAATCCATGAAGTCACTGACAAGTGGACTGAGTCATGTTGGCAGGTGTAGACTACATGGTTGGGATCCGCTAGATGATAACAACGGATGGTTAGAGACCTTGAATGACATGGCTCAAAATCGTTTGTAATGGCGAAGGCGCATCCACTCTTTGTGTTCTCACAAATTCGAATCTTCTAAATTATTCATGTCTCTATTATTTTCTCTTTCCAAATTTATTTCACTGCATTATACACCCTAAATAACTTCTTCAAACCCTAGTCATTCCAATTACTGCTTATATTCTTACTACTATCACTATGGGATTTGAATCGACAACTGCATCTCTGTGCTAGTGTGATATGGCAACTCGAGCTGGTGTACGTAGGTACAAAGTTCTACGTTGTGACTGACTGGTAAACTATAAAGGAAATATTCTTATTGTACGTTAGGTTGGTAACCCGGCTTCATTACTTGAAGCCTAAACATTCACGGTAATTATGTACATCAGTGTTCTAGATTCTAAGTTTCCGGTTATTCACCTGTATTCTGACCTATGTTTTTAGGCTGATATACCTTTCATACATTTAGCGATTTAATACAGTTCCCTCATTGGTATAAAAGTTTACATAACGTACTATGCTCCCCGTATCAGTCCTCCCTGTGTAACGACAAATACAAATATACTGCCAGAAATTTATGGTGCACGTAAATCCAGATCTCATTAGAATTAGCCTGGATAAACGCATCCGTTCACTTTCCATCGGTTTTTATGTATACCATCTTATAGGCTAAGTATAAAATCGGTAGCTCGATAAACGCTGATTCGAATTCCATTATGATCTAAAACTCCTCGCCTTAGTCTTTATATCTGCCAACTTACAAACTAGTTTGTAACGAATGTTATATTTATTAGAAAGACGTGCGAATATGATCAGCATGATAATTCAAATAACATGAAGCTAGAGAAGTCGTATTTACAAACTTTTGGTAATAACTGTCTATACTGACGACTTTAAGCGATTTATCGGATAATTAAAAAACTTAGTTATCAATATACTAACATCAACAAAATTACAGTGGAATAGTAGTTTTAATGTGAATAACAAATTCTTACATGTTGAGCTATTCTTCATGGTGAAGGAAAAAGGTAAGTTTGTATATCAGGAGTTGGCCAGTGTTGTGAGTTAGGTTATAACTCCGCAGGGTGCTAGTCACCAACTAACATCAGCTATTATGCAAAAGGGTTAGAGTTGGGGATTACAAGTTATTCTACAGAGTTGCGAGTTGGGGTTAGGGTTTTCATCTTGAAGTGACATCAACTAAGATGTAGTGAAACGTTGCTACCCATTTGTTTACAAACTTAAGAGACTTAGAGTTGAAGTTAGTGAGACTATAATTATGGATGACCTTTAAGAAACACTTAATTATTTATTTCATTTAAACACAAATATTGGTACAATGGGGCACCAGATATATATGCGCCACACAAATATATGCCCAATTACTAGGGTTAAATCAGATTTATAATTCAGTGTGAGGAATTAGGATTAGGATTTAAAGTTGGTTGTTAGGGCTAGAAATTAGTAACAATACTTCCATCACCAATCTACATCAGTTTTAGTGTTAAGGTGCCATTTAACCAGATAGATGAATCGATTTTGCGCCAAAATCCAAGATCTACGGCATTAAATCTGATTGGTTCGTTCGTAAATTACAGTCTTGCCTTAAAATTTAGGCAGAAGTTAGATTAAGTTATTATCTAGCTGTACAATTACCCCTAACTATCCATTTAATTTCATATTTTTTACGATCAATGTCAAGCAATTTAGGAACTAAGTATTCCCAGCTTTCACTTGGTTCGTAATAACCCGAAGATATAATTCATTTTTTTATTGGTTGTTTGGATCTTCCCATCTATGTTTAGGACTGCAGTTTGTCAGTCTCGTATTGGTATGTTCATCGTGTGCAAATTGCCTCAAATCACAAGCATTATAAGTGGGTTTGATGGTGACTAGCAGTGGATTCCACGACTAGCCACCAATCTCTGCTTATAACATGTAAAATATCTTATATTACGGTTCCAATTTCTCTCAAAATCTCGTGAGGCATCGTCTTAGTTCTTAGTGGCTCATCCGAGGTCATCGAAATGGCATGTTCGGCAAATTTTTAAAATGGCAAAATAGTTCGGTTATTTTAGTTGGCTTTTTAGTACTTAAATTCACCTCATTATTCAAATTCTTTGTTTTATGAGCCTTGAACCATACGTTTTATGAAGGTCACACTGACCCTTAACTTCTTGATATTAGCTTGGTTTGGAAAAGGACAGAAAAAGGCAATACGCAGCTCTATCTTTGTCTATCTGGTTGACAATGTTAGACAAGAACAGGTCACTTTGAGTGATCTCTTGTATAACTTCGTCATTTCCCAATGGGGTTGTCCCATCTCTTACATATAGCAGAAGCTATAAGGATCTGGACCTACAACCCTAGTTTATATGTCTAGAAGAAATTCGTGACACTCCTGTTCCTTCATTGGCCAGATATAGCTTAACAAATCTTTGGACCTCAGGTATTTCACCTCCTGCTTATATTCTCCAATATCTATTTATTTACACACTTGTTACGCAATTCGAATGATTTTTTGTGATTATTTTAAAGTCTTTGTCTAGGTTTCACCTACTTCCTATTTTGAACTGTTGAACTGTTTTATTATTCTTAACCACCACTATTGCACCTGTGTTACTATCTATCAGTAGTTTTTACCTATATGCATAATTATACAATCTATTTAGTTGTGATCACTGAATTATAATTTACCCTCATTGGGTTAACATTTTCATATAAATAGTGGTGTGTAGTAGATTGATGGCGATCTATTTGAAAACAATATTGTTCGCTTGTATGTGTTGTTCTAACTTGTGATATTTTTTTTATAAGTTGGAAAAGTTATCTATTGTTAACGGTCACAGCTGCCCTTTCCATCCATTGTTCCCACTGTCCACCACTGTCCAAGATCGTCGCTTATACCTTTTGTCACTGTATATTTAAGTTGCTTACGCTTCTCACTGTGCTCAGAGCCAAATTCTGCGTTACTAGTGGTTACCTGGAGGTTTTCGATATTGTCTGGTTGCTCAGACGGAAGTTGGTAACGTGGAGTTTAAGGCTACGATATACTGATTGAACGTACTGCGTTTTAGTCACTAAACCACCACTTTATAAGATTGAATTTTGCACCATACAGATTGTCGTAAAAATCATAAGAACACGTTTGTTGTTCAGTGTGTCTCGATTTCCGGGATAAACTGTCATGTGTTTGTCAAATAGTCACTAAGAGCAACTGATATATTTGGTCCTGTTTCTAATCTTTTTTTTTCCAGATTTTTGTTGGACCTATCTTGTAAAACATAGAGTTAGTAATTAAAACTTACTGTTTTTAATCACTAGACCATAAGTTCAAAATTCGGTTCACGTACTCGGTTTTGAATAGCATCACTAATTCTTTCATTTAGAGTATAACTTAAGACCGAATGCAAAAAACTATACTTGCTAGAAAAGCTACATCCTTTTATTTTTAGAAACAAGAAGCATTAAATTGCTTTTATCTGTGATTTACTTCGTATTGAAAAGTTTTATGCTTGACCATAGTCTGTTTCTTTTCAGCCCGATTTAGATATATCAACTAACACTATCATGAATACTGATCCCAACCAATCTGGTTCATCGGTGCCTGCTCAGTCACCAATTCAATTAAGAAAACGTGGCCGACCAAGTGACAGGAAGTTAGGTCAGTTCATTTATGGCGAAAACTTTTTATTGTTGTCTGAAAATTCTGACATAATTCAATGTTTCCTGGGTGCCTGTAATATTGTTGCAAACCTATTCAAGATGCGTTTCTTTTTCTCTGAATGCAAAATGTTTCAATATTGCTTTGTATCATCGCCTTTACTGATTATAAGAAAGTGAACTAAGTGCCTTGATCACTTCATTTATCTTATGAGTCGGTATCTGAGGAAGTCTCTACATAACCTCAATAAGCTCCCTTGACGTTTACTAACTTGCATCACTTGTGGTGGAGGTGGTAATTTCACCCAGTAATTTCCTCTATTATATTCTATGACTATGAGACACAGTTTGTAAAAGTTTTCATTTAAACACATAAATATTGGTACAAAGATGCACCAAATAGATATGCGCCGCATAAATCTCATTTGATTTGTGTGAGGGCTGCGATACTTCCCAGGTGCCCAAACTGAAGCAGGTGGTTTTCATAGGGGGCCACACCCGATGCCTTTGACCTAAAGGTCTGATCCACTAGGCAGTGGAACATTGTGAGGAAATGCAGTCCCATGGTAGCCGGTGACTGACGATTGATTCGTACACCATTTGTTCCCTCAGGATACTGGAACCCATGCGCACCATCGGTTTGTAATCAGGGTTTTCCAACTCACCTAGATGGACTTTCCGTGTCCACCAACCCGGTTAAAGCGCAGGATATTCGCTTTTAATCCTCTCAGTTTCGTAAACAACAGAAATGCCACTAGAAGGCATTAAGTAGGACTTCCCTGACAGACTATATACGCGTGGCCATGTAAGAGCATTTGGGGAGGGAGAACGAACTCTCCTCACTCTCGGCTGTACCAGGGCATTATTATTCGATTATATTTTATTTGCTAGTTCTAATATTTTATTTATGAATAGTTCATTTTAGTTAGAATTTTTCGAATGAGTCATTTGATCCTAAACATAATAATATTAAATAGGAAGCATATGTATTTATAAAGTGAATTTGAAGTAAATCCAACGTTTTGCCTAGCGATCTAGTCCAAACTTTGCCAAGCGAAACATTGGATTTACCTTTAATTCACTCGCTAAGATTTTACAAATCTGGAACTCAAAACAATTGTCAACTAACACCAAGATCAGAATTTTCAATAAAAATGTAAAGAAAGTTCTACTGCATGGAGCGGAGACGTGGAGAACTACGAAAGTCATCATCCAAAAGATACAGGTGTTTATTCACAGTTGTCTACGCAAGATACTTCGGATCCGTTGGCTAGACACTGTCAGAAGCAAGGTACTGTGGGGGACAACAAACCAGATTCCAGCGGAGGAAAAAATCAGGAAGAAGCGCTGGAAGTAGATTGGGCACACATTAAGGAAAGCACCGAACTGCGTCACAAGGCAAACCCTCACATGGAATCCTGGAGGCCAAAGAAAAAAAAAGAACACATTACGTCGAGAGATGAAGACAGACATGAGAAGAATGAACAACAACTAGATAGAATTAGAAAGGAAGGCCGAGGACAGAATGGGGTGGAGAATGCTGGTCGGTGGCCTATGCTCTATTGGGAGTAACAGGCGTAAGTAAGTAAGTAAGATCTTCCTATTTAAATTGTCTTCCATCATTTTTGCACCCAATTATTCTAAAACTATTCATTCTAATTTCAAACAAAAATTCTTCTTTATTCATTTGTTAATTTTTATAGAAAATTCATCTATTCATGATAATCAAAATTATTTTATTGAAAAAAATTTTAATTCATCTACTGTATATTCATCATGTTTGGATGATTTAAATTTACATTATCCTCATCGTAAATTACGTCCACGTAGAATAACATCAAATTATTATCCACAAAGAAAAAAGCGAAAAAAATATTTATTACGTGAAATAACTAAAAAATCATCGTCATCATCATCATCTACTACTAATAATAATAAATCATGTACACATTCAATAAAAATTCAAGAAGATCATAATAATGCTATGCTAGAAGAAGATGATGTTGATGGTGATGATCGTGATGACGATGATGATGATGGCGAAGAAGAAGAAGACGAAGATGATGATGAACAACAAACAAGACGTTATCCAGTACGTAATCGTAAAAATACTATTGTTTATCAGGGTAAGAATTATGTGTCATTTTTGTATGTATCTTGTTTATTCTTAATTATTTGTTTATTATTTATTAAGTATTTGAAATATCAGTAAGATCCCGGTTGGTACACCACTTTAAAGCTCCCGAATGCCCTACTACGGCCAAGAGTGTGGAGAGTCCGCTCTCTCGAAATGCTCTCATATGGCTACGCGTATATAGCCTCTGTCAGGGAAGTCCTACTCACTGCCTTCTCGCACCACGGGGCTGTGGTTTACGAAATTGAGTGGACGAAAAACGAATGTCCGGAGCTTTAACCAGGTTGATGGACATGGAAAGTCCATCTAGGTGAGTTGGAAAACTTTGATTTCAAACTAATGGTGCACATGGGTTGGCTCCAGTATCCTGAGTGAACAAATGGCATATGAATTAATCGTTGGCCATCGGCTGACATGGAACTTCATCTCCTTACGATGCTCCACTGCCTTGTGGATCAGACCTTTAGGTCAAAGGCTTTGGGTGTGGCCCCCTAAGTAAACCATCTGTTTCAGTTTGGGCACCTGGGAAGTATCACAGCAACAACACTAACTGATCAAAGCTAAAAGAATAAACCATTGGATCCTGGCTTAGTATTTTATTGGCTAGGTGCTCAACATGTTACGTGAAGGTCCGGAGTTCGATTCTCGGTTGGGGTCGTGAATACGCATTGCTAAACATTCCCATAGGAAGACGAAACAGCTGCCCAGTGCTTCTTACTTTTCAATAATTATCTAGCTAAGATCAGTTAGTAATGTAAATAGTAAGCAAAGGGTTCAAATCAGCGAGACTATACTTTATGGACGACCTTTGAAGGAATCTTAAATGACCTTGATAAATATTAGCCAATCAGAAAAGTTAAAATATATTATACAAAACTAAAAAATTAAAGCGGATACTGTTTGTTTTACATGGCTCAAAAACTTCTCAAGGTCAGATATAGGTTAACAAGTTCTAAAATCATAGCGCATATGGTACAGAAACTCATCCATATGGCTCCATAGTAGTCGGCCTCTGGAGCCATGATAAGGTCTCAAAAATTCTTATTGTTGGTGCCTGTCGGTTTCTAACTCGTTGGAAATGTTAGGGTTAGGGTTATGGTTAGGGTCTTAACCTTAATCGTGATCAAATGAAGAAAGTCATTTGAGTACCACAGTCACAAGTATAGAAACTTACTAATAATCCCTTCTCTTGTAGACGCTGAATTATCACGTCTTCTCTAAAATCCCCTGAAAACCGATCGTACGTAAGCATCAGGTACCGAACTCATCGCCGTGACCTTGAAAACCCGTGAAAGCTTCTGATTGGCTCGTCCATAAAGTTTAGTCCCGCCGTTGCCTTACTTATTAAGTATCACTTAAAGCCGAGTACGTAGACCTTTGCACTTGAAAAATGAGTCATATTATTATTATTATTCACACTCAAGGTAAGACGAACAAGTACAACTGATTAAAATTCCAATCAATTGAGTTGTTAATTTCAAATAGCATTCACCAAACTGCTAAGCTTTTTAAGACCGATTCAGCTCAGCAGTAGTGGCCAAATGCACCTGGTACACATGGATATGAATCACACTAATTGTTTTTGGGCTAGTGATGCTTTTCAGTTGTCCAAATTGAAGTAAACAGAGGTAGATTTAAAACCTAATACTCGTTGGTTGATGGTAAAGACTCTAGGTGACATGACTAAGAATCGGTCACAATGGCGTAGGTGTATACACTCTTTATCTTCCCTTAAACCTTGAGACTAAAATTGCTTCATATCTCTCATCCTTCCTGTACTATATCCTTACATACAACCTATAATTTATATACTACTACGAACACTAGATTAACTACTATGAATCCGGTGTTCCTCTTGTTGTGCTAACGAGGTATGGCAACTTGGACCGATGCATATATGTGCCTGGTCCTACGTTGTAGCTGACTGACTGACTGAAAGCGTTTTAACCACAGACCCACATACACTCTGTATTTAGTTGAGTACTTATCAAAGACTCTTGAGTTTTCGAAATATTGATATGTGACTATATATCGTATAACAAATGATTTTCCAACAGATGATTATCATTAGTATAGAGTCGTGGAGAACGTTAGACAACCATTGGAAACCTGAAATCACTGAACAACCGTTTCACTCTAGCATAGGACTTTTGAGCAGTGTGCATCCATGGCGTTAAAACTCAGATATAAATTAATAAACTCAGTAAAACTAGCCAACTTTGAGCAAATGTATGGACAGGTAGAAAATGTATAAACCAATTAAGAGAACAGCTAGTTTACCACTAATCAATTGTAAAATATAAGGAATACATTTTAAAGCAAAATAACAAGCTACTCATAAGTAATACAGTTGTAGTACATAAATTTAACAATGTGGCGCAAGGCCGGTTCAATGAACCTCCTTATCATATGCTCACTAGTGACTGGCTACATGAGGTATTTCCTGGAGTTCTAGTGAGAATCAGTAACCAGTGGAGTTCAACTAGGTCTGTTGGGAGATATCAACTCACTGAAGACATTGGCGAAATGGTTGCCCTACTTCGTAGATTGGTTGAAATTAGACATTAACACCGTTGGATTCCGGCCGGCTCAGTGGTCTATCGGTTAAGTGCTATGGCGCGAGACTGGTAGGTCCTGTGTTCGAATCTTGCTCACGAGGCGGTACCGTGGTTGCGCACTGCCCACAATGTAACGAAACAGCCGTCCAGTGCTTCCAGATTCTCCATGATGGTCCTGCTTCAATTGACTCATGATTTCAACTGTATATAAAAACCTATATTTACTTAATATAGGGAAGTCCTACTCACTGCCTTATCGTGGCGGGGGTGTTGTTCACGAAAGTGAGAGGACGAAAAGCGAATGTCCGGCGCTTTAACCGGGTTGGTGGACACGGAGGGTCCACCTAGGGGAGTTGGAAAACCACAATTCCAAACCAATGGTGTACATGGGCTCCAGTATCCTGATGGAACGAATGGCGGACGAACCTGGCGTATGAACCAACTGTTGGTCACCGACTACCATGGGACTGCATCTCCTCACGATGCTCCACTGCCTTGTGGATCAGACCTTTTGGTCAAAGGCTCGGGGTGTGGCCCCCTAAGAAAACCACCTGCTTCGGTTTGGACACCCGGGCAGTATCACAGCCCACACACACACAAATAGTGTGGCGCATATGTACCTGGTGCCCTTTTGTACCATTATATATGTGTTTAAATAAATAAAATAAAATAAATTAGATTAGATCTTGAAATATTCAACTAATTGAAACTGTACATGGAATAGAATGTGCATAATTATTATTCTTACTTGTGTTCATCCTTTAGTTCGATTAAATTAATAATAATTTTCTGCAAGAAAAAATACGTTTATTTTTTTCTTTCAGTTGAAAATTTGCATAATAATAGTAATAATAACAATCATAGTGTTCAACAGCATCAAAGAAACTGGCTAGCCGGTACAGGTTATCATAAAGAAAGACGATCACGTCAATTGAAATCCAAGTAAGTGTAGAGGGTTTCTGCTGTTGCATATATATATTAACTAATTCACCAGGTATTTGATTATGAGCCACACTTCCAATAAGGGCTAATGATACTACACAGTTGTCCAGACTGAAGTATATTCGACAGGGTTTGAACCTGAGAGGTAGTGCCCGGAATACGACCTCCCTAATCACCAGGCTCCCGAATGTCTTATTACGGCCGACGGTGGGGAGAGTCCACTTTCCTTTTTAAAATCCTATCATATGGCTACTGGTATATAGCCACTACCAGCGCAATTCTATTCACTGCCTTTTCGTGGCAGAGGTGTCGTTTACAAAATCGAGAGGACGGAAAAGAATGTCTGGGTTAGTGGGTACGATGCCCCCAAATACCCTGGTACGGCCGAGAGTGGGGAGAGTCTGCTCTCCCTCTCGAAATGCTCTCATATGGCCACGCGAATATATAGCCTCTGACAGGGAAGTCCTACTCACTGCCTTCTCGTGGCTGGGGTGTTGTTCACAGAAGTGAGAGGACGAAAAGCGAATGTCCGGAGCTTTAACCGGGTTAGTGGATGTGGAGGATCCACCTAGAGGAGTTGGAAAACCCTGATTCCAAACCAATGGTGCACATGGGCTCTAGTATCCTGATGGAACGAATGGCGTATGAACCAACTGTTGGACACCGGCTACCATGGAACTGCATCTCCTTACGATGCTCCACTGCCTTGTGAACTAGACCTTTAGGTCAAAGGCTCCAGGTGTGGCCGCCTAAGAATATCACGTGCTTCAGTCTGGGCACCTGGGCAGTATCACAGCCCTCACACAAATCGAATAAGATTTGTGAAGCGCATATTTATCTGGTGCTTTTTTGTACCAATATTTATGTGTTTAAATAAATAAATAAAAAGTACGATGGATCTACCTGGGGGATAGGTGAATCAGCGTGACTCAACGCTGTTCTGCACGGATCATTTAATCTAATTTATATCCTGCTAACAGGTACTCATTGTAATCAGCTGTAGTTTCAACGCTTATACACGAAGTCTCTACAAACCTAATAAGTAACACTTGCAAAGATTATAACAAATGAATAGAATAGTGATATTATCACCTTAAGATGAAAAGACTCCTTCACATTATAACTGGAAAATGACCATTCTTTTTTTCCACATATTTCTGCTTAAAAACTTGTTCGTTTTAAAATACCCTACTTTTTACATTTTTTCAAGGCATCGTAAAAATTTAGAACATCGTGGTTCTAGTAGTAGTAGTAGTAGTAGTAGTACATCGTCATCATCGTCATCGTCAAGATCACGTATTTATGATAGATCATTCTATAACCGTGATACAATTCGACAAACTTGGCATAATCGTTGGCATTGTTCTTCTTCTAAAGAGAATAATATTCCATCAACAGTTGATAAAGATGAAAAACGTTTTCAACGTCGTATTAATAAAAGTATTATACATGCTAGATCGGAACTTATGCCTATAAACAGTCATCAACTTGGTTATGAAGTATGTATTATTTATATATTATTCTATTATTTTATAAGTTATACATATGATAATTAAAACAATTCAACTCGTTCACCAGGTACTTGAATATGCTCCATATTCTAAGTGTAAAGACTAATGATAGTACCACTCCGTCGCTTAAACCAAAGTAGATGAAGCTGGGTTTGAATCTAGGAGTTAGTGACTAAAAGTCGAACACCTTGGCTAATAACCACTGATGTACAAGGAATTTAATTCAAATCTCTAACCACTAATGAGTAGATGATTGGAATTTTGGCAATTTAGCTTGCGAAAGTTCGTTCCAACTTGATCAACAAAATATATTACTCTCTTACACTTTACACAATGGAGTCGTGAATAGGCTCGACTGAGGTGTCTTATTCTAAGATGAAGTAGCTATCCAGTGCTTTCTAGTTTCTTGTGGTATCTCAGCTGAGATCAATCTACAACTAAGAAAACTTACAAATTAAACAAATCCTCAGAGGAACTCCATCAATTAAACTAGATTATTTTAATGGATTGGAACACCACCACACTTTCCAAGCATTGATTTGCGCAGATTCATAGGTCGGTTCGACGCTTAATTTGAATTTTGGTAACTGATGGATGTTACTAGGTAACATACAAAATCGTAAATTCAGTTAAGATCTATACGAACCATATATATTGGTAACTGACTAACTTTTTTATCATATTTTAGAATCTGAAGATATCTTAACCAGAGAAATTTCAAGGTAACAAGAATATTAAAGTGTTTTCATTCTCCACTGTTACAATATTTCACAAACATCGTGATTAACTATCATAGAGAAAAATACTAAATATTGTTTGTTTAAAATCTTAATAAGAAAAGTGTCTATCGGGATTTCCGGTCAGCCTATAATACTCACGAATTAAAGAACGTTTGAGCTATTCGACGATGACCGTCTTATTGCAGTCTCGATAATGGTAGTTGGGACGTAACATGCATACAGAACAGGATAACAACTATCCGCCATCAACCAATGCTCGATGATGGCTGGTATGGGAGTAGGTTTGAAGAAAGCTGCGAGGGACCAAATCGCAAAATAACTTCAGTCTGTGAAAACATTGACTATTGTACTGAGCCGTATGGACAGGTTCAGACTGCCTAATTAGAGTCCGCGTGATTACCGTAACTATTGGCTTTATATTTCGGGTCACAATGCCTAAAATCGTCTTTAATAGCGTAGCTGCATTCACTCTTCCTTTAAATCCTAGGTTTCCAATCCATCTTTTCTTGTTACGTCTCTTGGCTGCCTAATCTTCTCGATTATCTCTAAGACTTCAGCATTAATAAAAAAGACTATCTGATTCTGTGGTCCCCTTGGCAATTTGGTGATAGGTTGTCCAGTAGAAAATTCTTGTCATGAACTAGTTTAAATAATATTGTTCTGAACTAGGAAATCACTAAACAACTCACTTTTCCTTTTATGGAGTTTGTAGTAAATTCTAACTTATATGACCTCCCATCAGCGATTAGACCCACAACGTGTATGTTTCGTATCGAGGCATTCAATCGGAATCTAATGGTTTATATGTCCGATTTCAGTTAATTTTCAGTAGTAAGACCAATGCTTTGAGGTCCTGGGTTCAATTCCTGACATTGCTGTTGAGTCCCATGTTGGAAGTAAACAACTTATCTGCACATTAGTGCTATTGGTCTCAATGCTTCTGCGTCAGTTCTTTCCATCAAAATGTTAATTTATGTTATCCTTTCCTTACATCTTTTTCATACACCGTTTTCGTTTGCTTTTTAAAGAATAAATCCACAGTAGGCAATCGAAATATCTCTTCAACTTACTTGGCAGATATCGAACCAATGTCTATTGATTCATCTGTCGGGTTCGAACAAGTTGGGGGTCATGAAAAGCATATATTAGCATTGAAAGAAAGTATAATTCTACCGCTAATGTATCCTGAAGTGTTTTCAAAATTCAATGTAGATCCACCTCGTGGTGTGCTGTTTTCAGGACCTCCAGGTAAGTAGTAATCAGTTTAGTTTTGCATAACTGTAACTTGTTTAACTGCATTTAACGGTGTTACCCCACGTTAGAAAACTGATCCATGTAGAATCAGAGAACGGGGGTGAGATTCAAAATTGCAACCGAATAATGTAAGCATATTTCTTACACTCTCTAATTTTCGTTTAAATTAGTTAGGGCTGATGAAACTTTCAAGTAAGTCCTACTCACTGCCTTCTCGTGGCGGGGTGTCGTTTAATTCTTCATTTTTGGTATGAAGAACATAATGATGAAGTGATAACATTCAATTTTTTTGAACATGAAAGATAGAAAGGGTGGTTAGGACTACGGTTAGATCGAACATGTTGCTTATATACACAGACTAGTCTAGAATAGGTGGATTGATAAAGTTTCTAGGGTTTATAAATTGCTGATTTGCAATCATTTTGAACTATTTCACATGATTTTATGGGTGACTTTAAGGTGGGATTCCGGGGGGAGTGATGTGACCAGTGTTTACAAGATAATCAGGAATGGAACTATTATCTGATCTTTTGATAATCAGACAGAGCAATGCTTGGAAATGCGTTTCAAGGGAGCTTGCTTTGTACGGCCAACATAATCTCCTATTTGCAAAAACAAGTATACGTACTGACACACATTGATGTTGTGCAAAGCAAAATCTTCTCTTTTCACACATACACAAATCAATGGGGGACTAGTAGGGATAATTCGAAATCCAATAGAATAAAATACTTTATTTTCAAAGAATTCAAAAGTCTATTTTCCTCAGGATCTCTGCCATTGTATCTGTTTTAAACCAAATATTCATGGAAAGGATCTGCTTTGGCGCTACAGACTTTTTTATAATTTATTACTACTCATTGTGTTCGGAAGACTGCAGTTTATTGTCCACTCAGTCAGTCAACTCAGTCAGCTACAACGTTGGACCAGGCACAAATATGCATCGGTCCAAGTTGCCATACCTTGTTATTGTCCACTACCCCGAATTCTATTCCGAATCGTAGAACAATTCTGTAGTTGAGAAATTAATCGTCAGAAGTAGTTATTTTCGTCATTAAAACGCATTCACATGTCTATTTTTTTTGATTAAATATGATCATGCATATAAGCCCATATAAACTATTCTGAATATTTTTAATCTATACTTTTCCTTAGGTACTGGTAAAACACTGTTAGCCAGAGCTCTTGCAAATGAATGTAGTCGTTTAGCCCAAGGTAGCAATAATAGTACTACTACTACTACTACTACTACTACCAACGTTAAACATTGTCGTCCTATTGCGTTTTTTATGCGTAAAGGAGCAGATTGTTTATCTAAATGGGTTGGTGAATCTGAACGTCAACTAAGATTATTATTTGATCAAGCATATCGAATGCGTCCTTCTGTAATTTTTTTCGATGAAATTGATGGTTTAGCTCCTGTTCGCTCTTCAAAACAAGTAAGTTCGTAGTTGATTTTCCATAGGTCTTTAAGAATCTGTAGACTTAGCAGTTGACATTCATTTAGTATTGTTTGTTTGAATCTTCCCATCGATTTTGTTAGGACTGCAACTGGTCAGTCTCTAATTGGCATATGTGCATACTGTGCGTATTGCCTTGATATACCTTAATTCACAAGCATGGTTAGCAGAGGTGGATAGTGGCTAGCAGTGGAATCCAGGACGCGCGTTTCGTCCTATTCAGGACTCGTCATCTGTGGATGTACCTGCATCTCAGAGTTGATGTTCACTCTGGGACTCAAACCCAGTACCTTTCGCTTCAAACGCTATCGCGTTATCCACTCGGCCACTGAGTCCTGATAGCCGCTTGCTTGTGCAATGGGGTGAAGTTTAAATTCATTTAGTATTGTTTGTTTGAATCTTCCCATCGATGTGTTAGGACTGCAACTGGTCAGTCTCTAATTGGCATATGTGCATACTATGCGTATTGCCTCGATATAGCCTTAATTCACAAGCATGATAAGCAGAGATGGATTGTTGACAGTTAAATAGTTTTCAAAAGCCTTTTGTACCAATAAAAGTTTTCTGTTTGCTAGTGACTAATTTTTGAGAAGTAGTTTTCGGAGTTTCACTGAAAATTTGTGACTAGTTGATTTTAACTTTGTTGCATGTAAGGCACTAAAATGCCTGTGCAAGATCGCAAGCTGAGTTAAGTTGGAAATCTAAACCATTAGGTGGCGATTCAATGGTCTGAAGGTCAAGCACTTACCATGAAACCTAAAAGGCCCTGGCTTCGATCTCTGATGTAGGGTCTTACACCACTGAGAATTATTGTACTAGCATGAAACCACTGTCCAGTGCTTCCTGGTTTCCAATGGTTGTCTAACTGGAATCCAGTCAATTATATAAACTATCAAACTCAGCAATCTTCGTTACCCCTCCCCTTCATACTAGAAATTCTAAATGTTTTATCACCATAAAATACCACTTTGAATAAATTAGTCGTGTTTTACTCATTTCGCTCTCGATGGTTGTCAAATCTGATGATGATGATGTTATATGTACATATATCAAGTAAGAATAGCACGTTCCAGTTGGTATCTGTCAATTCATCACGATAGCGTTGATCTTGAAAACAGCCTTATCACATACATGGCTGATAAAAAGCTATTCTTGATGCTCATATTCTAGTTGACCGGTATGTATGTCACAAGAAACGACATTGAGTAGTTTAATATAAACTAACTAATGACTGAATAGTTAAGAAAGTCCCTTTTTTTCTAGGTTTATTATGATTGTTGGAAGTAGAATTGATGTTTTGTTTTACACTTTTCTATCTCGATTCCTCTCCTATTTTTATTAGGATCAAATTCACTCCAGCATTGTTTCCACTCTTCTCAGTTTAATGGATGGTTTAGATAATCGTGCTGAAGTTGTAATTATTGGTGCAACAAATAGACCAGATGCTATTGATCCAGCCTTACGACGTCCTGGACGGTTTGATCGTGAATTTGTATTTACATTACCAACAGAAGTAGTTAGACGTCGTATTCTCGATGTGATTACCGCGAAATGGGATCCAAAACCAGATTCATTAGTAAGTTCACTTTTTGAGTGGAAGTGAGATAGGATGGAACGGAGGCAATGATTGTATGCATAAGAAATCAAGGTGTTGCTCAACTAAGACAGTAGGTTATGATCGCCGCAATTCTTGAAGGTTCCTGGTTCGATTTCTGGTTGTGTTATGTATACGTTCTGCTGAAGGGTCTCCATGCTAGGACGAAACAGCTGTCCACTATTCATTGATTCTCAATGTTACCCTAATTGAGATCAATCCATAACGTATAAATAATAGATTATTGGTTGTTCAACCTCTATTTTATCTTTGTTTATTACAGTTGACACTAATAGCCTAGAACGATTCTAGAAGTGGCCTTGAAATTAACCGGTCAGCTGTCAGCCAGTTAGAATACACCTGTTGTAAACTAATTTCATATTTCAAAATAAAAAGAATAAAATTCCATTGAATCTAAAGTTTTAAAATTTCAAGGTGTTAGAGCTTAACCCTAACTGTACCCCAAAACTCAAAATTCATGTTGTATAGCCAGCTTATGTATCACAAAGAAGGATAGAATCGTAAGGGATATAGAATTTTAACATGATCTTTTCTTTCCATAAAGACGTATTATCTCTAATAAACTTCTTTCTTCAACCTCATCTCTGAAGTGTACATCTCCTCACGTCGTTCGCTGCCCGTAGTTACATATGATACTATTTGTTAATAATCTAAAAATCTATAAGTGATCGACGACACTATATCTTCATGAAAACTAACCAAAATACAAAATCTAATAAAAAAAAATAGTGGTTTCTAGTGGCAGATTAGATTGATTTATTTAAACACATAAATATTGCTACTGAGGCACCGAATACATTAGCGCCACACTTCATTCGATTTGTGTGAGGGCTTGAATACTACTCGGGCGCCCAAACTAAAGCAGGTGGTTTTCTTAGGAGGCCACTGGATGAACCTCTCACCTAAAGGTCTAATCCGCAAGGCAGTGGAGCAACATCAGGCGATGCAGCTCCATAGAAGGCGATGACCCACGATTGGTTCATGCGCTATTTGTTCCCTCAGGATCTTGGAGCTCATATGCAACATTGGTTTGGAATCAAGGTCTCCCAACTCCCCTAGATGGATTCTCTACATCCACGAATCCGGACATTCACTTTTCGTCCTCTCAATTTTGCAAGCAACACTTCCACCACGAGAAGGCAGTGAGTAGGACTTCTCTGTCAGTGACTGTATACGCGTGGCCATGTGAGAGCATTTCGAGAGAGCGGACTCTCCCCACTTACGTCCGTATCAGGGAATTTGAGGGTCCAGATTAGATGTGATTACAGTTTGAATAATCTTTCTTCACACTAACAATCGCCATTTTCACTCTGATCATTTCTGTTCGTTTTAGGGCCTCCACAGTATAATTAAGTTCTGCTCAAATTCCATACATTGCTTTTGTTCATTTATTTGTTTCTTTTTACTTCTTATTTTTTTTTCTTTTTCAATAAGTTACTTGATCAAATTGCTGCAGTAACAATCAATTTCTCCGGTGCTGATCTTAAAGCATTAACTACAGAAGCATGTTTATGCTGTCTACGTCGATGTTATCCTCAAGTTTATAGTAGTCAAGTGAAATTAGCTTTGGAACATAAATATTTAGTGGTAAGTTTTTCTTTCTTTTTTGGTCGATGAATGAATTACTATGTTTCTATATGTAGCTAGCTTGTTTCCCACGATGATATAATGTTAATTCGAAGTATATTTTAAACTCAATTAATCATGACTGAAGTTTCCCAATCGAACAGCTTAAGAATTTCTCAATGATCATGATTTAAATATGACTTTATTGAGTTATTCGACTTTTCATTTGTATTATTGTCGAGACTATAATTTATGGACGAGCTAATCAGAAGCGTTTGAGGGATTTCAAGGTTACGGCACCTATTTCAGTACCTGATGCTCATGTACGGTCGGTTCACAGAGTATTCTATAGTAGACTTCACAATTTAGCAGCTACAATAAATGAGACTACTAAGAAGTTCCTTTGTTTGTAATTGCAGTAATTAAAGGACTTGTAAACCTTGTGCAGACTACCGTGTTGTTGTCCTTCGTTGTAACATATGTTAGATGAAGATGTTTGCTAGAATAGGGACCGTTTCCACTCGATCCAAATTGAGACTAAGGCATATTATAATTATCGCCAACTGTATAATAAAAGCACCAATAACATTGGCTGCAATAGTCGCAGATGTTACTGAAGCTTCGGCTGTGCAGTAGTATGAGTATTGTAGGGATATATCTATAATAAAAATGATAAACTTACACAACCGGAGTACAAACAAACAATATTGAAGCTATGTGGTCGAGGCTGTGGGAGTTTTCGCGACCTTATCATGGCTCAAGAGACCGACTATTATGGAGCCATATGGATGAGTTCCTCTATCTTATGCATTAGGATTTTAGAACATCTGAACCTCTTTCTAACCTTGAAAAGATTTTGGACCATATAAAAGAAGTGTACCTACTTTAATTATTTTGTATATTATATATATATATATATATTTACTTTATACTGGCTGTTTACTGATTGGCTAACATTTCTCAAGGTCACTTAAGGCTCATTCAAAGGTCATCCATAAACTATAGTCTCACCGTATTATTTATTCTTCTTTTCCTTTTTTTATCTCTTTTTTTTGTTCTGTTTATTTTCAAAAGGTCTCTCATTCTGATTGGTTTGAAGCATTACAAATAGTTCATGCATCAAGTGAACGTTTTGATAATGATATATCCGCTTCAAATTTAACACCATCAACAAATGCATTAGCTGCTACAATACGTACACCATTATCACCAATATTAGATAAATTATTATCACGTCATGTGAATAAAATTGTAAATTATATAACTCGGATATTATTATTGACAAATTCTAAAAGATTCGATTCTTTGAGTAATAATAATAATAAAGAACCATCCATATTATCATCATCATCATCATCACCCTCAGCAACCAACATATATGATAATGTTTCATCATGTATTATTAAATCGAAATTATTTATTCATGGTAATATATCAGAGATTATTATGAATGCTGTATGGCATAAATTAGAAGCATTAAATGTAAGTGACCATCATTTGTATATTGTTTTCTATGCGTCTAATAATGATACCGTTATATTTCAAAGTTGAAATCATGAGTCAATTGAAGCTAGACCACTATGAAAATTCTGAAAGCACTGGACAGCCGTTTCATCCTATGATGGGACTCCTCAGCAGTGCGCATCCACGATCCACGCTCGAGACTGGTAGGTCCTGGATTCGAATCTGGCGAGTGCGGGATCTTGGATACTTACTGCTGAGGAGTCCCATCATAGGACGAAACGACTGTCCAGTGCTTCCAGGTTTTCCATGGTGGTCTAGTTTCAATTGATTCATGATTTCAACTTTGAAAAAAGACACTATTATAATTATTTTCTTAATAAACGACCAAGCTACTCCTATTTGCTTAGTATTCTTATACAATGATACTCGACAAGACCCCCAAAAAATCGGAAAACGTTTAACAAGAACGAAATTTGTATTCAGAATAACAGGGGTAGGTAAACAGAAGTTAAATCGTTAGAAAAATGTTCATATATTTATAGTATATGCATAAGAAGCTTCTAGATGTTTCTCCAATAATTTGCCAGAGCTGATTGGTTTTAAAATTAGCCAGTCAGCGTGCGCCGTCACGATCATGCACATAACATGCCTTAATCCGAATTATTTCCCGCTAACAGACACTGAAGCTAAGAGATGAATTATCTAGACTGAACACCTCGTTTTGTAAATATCAATTAAACTGTTCTTAGTTGAATTTCTAGAAAAATTTACATTTTTTGTGTACATGAACACCCAGCATGACTAAGTCAATCAGTCAGTCAGCTACAACGTACGACCAGGCACATATGTGCATCGGTCCAAGTCGTCATATCTCATTACCACAACAAGATCAACACCAAATTCATAGAAGTAGTTAATTTAGTGATGGTAATATATAAAAGAAAGGTTGTATATAAGGATATAGTACAGGAGGAAAGATATGAAGCAATTTTCATGTCATGGCTTAAGTGAAGTTAAAGGGTGCATACACCTGCGCCATTGTGATAGATTCTGAGCCACGTCACAATGTGTGTTCCTGGAATCTGCTTTTGGCTTTCTCATTAATTTCACCTCTAATGGGTCTTCCTAATGTGGTTTTTCTGCATCTATTAAGGCGCCAGAAAATGTGTGCTCGTATTAGAGCATGATCAGAGTCTAAACATGTATTCCAGAACGAGTGACAGTTTTCTATCGAGCCTCTCTAACAATGACTGATGGCAATATGGTCTATTTGAGTCCATCGTTGGTTTGGTGCAGGCGGTCGCCATGTTAGACGATGTCTCTCCTTATGCTTAAAATTAGTGTTTGCTAAAACGAGGAAGAGCAGCTGGTCCAGATGGATTGGCTCGAGATGCCTTTAAATATGGTGGTTCAATTTTAGCGAGTCAAAGCTTGTGGCGAACTGTCGTTGGCCAAACCTAAACGTGGCATCATAGCTTGAAGTCACTAACTTCTAATCTGAGTCATGTTGGTAGATACAGACTATTTGGTAGGGGTCCGCTTGACTATCGTAACCAATGGTTGGATACTTTGTGTGACATGGCTCAGAATCGATCACAATGGCGTAGGTGTATACACTCCCTGTCTTGCCTTGAATCGTGGGATTAAAATGGCTTCATAACGTTCTTCTTTCCTATACTATATCCTTATATACAATCTTTCTTTTATATATTACCACCATTAAATCAACTACTTCTATGAATTTGGTGTTCATCTTGTTGTGCTAACAAGGTATGGCAACTTGGACTGATACATATGTGTGCCTGGTCCTACATTGTCGCTGACTGACTGATTATCACCAAGCTATTCAGGTCATTTTCTTCATGTTACACTGATAATTCAAAGTGTTATTCACGTCTTAATTTGTTTACCATATATATATATATATATATAGTATAGTTGTATGTATTTGTTTTTCTTCTTGTACATCACTTTATTACTATCTTTTCTACTTCTACTATCTATTTCTTCTTATTATTTAAAAAAAATACTAAGGTATTCACATTAAATTTAGCTAATCTATATGCATTTCCTACAAGTATTGGAATATGTCCAGAAGCAGCTATTGCACAAATTATTACATCTATACGACGTATATTAAATAATTCTACTATAAAAACAAAAACATTTAATATGAAATGTCAATTTATCAATAATATTGTTATTGTTTATATACCATCAATTGATATACTATTTCAAAGTTTATCACAATTAACTATTACTTATCTTATTGATAGATTAAATGCATTAATAGATGAAATTAATGGTGAATTAAATTATATTCCTTTAACATTAATCAATTCTGATCCTTTAGAAGGATCTTTAAACAACAACAACAACAATGATAATCGATTACATTATGCTACTATGAAAAAATCACGTCGATTAATTCTTATTGGAACATGTACACAATCACAACAACAATATTCAAATTGTTTCCCTCCTAGAATTGTTCCACCTATTAATATGGAGAAATGTAATTCATTTATAAAACAGTGTAATACTACTACTACTACTACTAATAATAATAATACGAATACGAATACAACACATGATCATTGTGTATCAATATTTCCTAATTTAATTGGAAAATCAAATGGTAATGATTGTCTCTCTTAAACATTTTTATTTATTTATTGAAAATAAATCCCTTTTTTTAATGAGTTAATTCACTGACGAGGATAGTACTAGGTAAGGATGGTAAATTGATTGATGAAGTAGTGAAACTTCATCAGTTGAGATGGCTGGAACACGTGTTACGTATGCTCAACCAGCGAATGCCCCGAAGTGCAATGTTTTATGGTGTAGGAGTAGGTTGGAAGAAAGCTAGGGGCGGCCAGACCAAAACATGGCACAAATCCATGAAGTTATTGACAATTGAACTGAGCCATGCTTGTAGGTGTAGACTACGTGGTTGGGATCCTCAAGTTGATAGCAACCGATGGTTAGAGATCTTGAATGACATGGCTCAAAATCGTTTGCAATGACGAAGGTGCATCCACTCTTTGTGTTCTCTCAAATTCTAATGTTCTGGATTCTTTGTCTCTATCTTTTTTCTCTTTTCAAATTTATTTCACTGGATTATACTCCTTTAACAACATCTTCAAACCCTAATCTTTCGGATTACTGATTATACTCTTACTACTTCTACCACTATGGGATTTGAATCGACAACTGCATCTCTGTACTGATGTGGTATGGCAACTCGAACTGATGTATGTACATACGAAGTTCTACGTTGTGTCTGACTGACCAATTGATTTATTCTGTTAATGCAATTAAGTATCATTGTAACTAACTCTGTGATTAATTCAAAGAAGTCTTGATGTGAATTAGTGACTAATGATGATTGTCGATCAATCATCATGTCACTAGGATAAGATAGGGATTATCTATGATCATTGAATTATCTCTGTACAGTATGACAAATCGATTAAATTAGTATTGGGAGATTATTGGAAGTTGCAGAACTTTCGTAGTTTAAGTCACGTAATGATCTTGATTAAACTGGCATTGAAAACCTGGAAGGTCTAGACACACTTGTCATTGTAGAATGGGATTCCTCAGTAGTGCTCGTCCGCGACCTCAAGTCCAGGGATCGAACCTTGGGCCTCTCACATCTTGACATCTTGACCACTGAGCAAGCATCCAACGGTGCACATGTCTAACGGCAGTCAATTCACGATATTGCACGACCGTCATTCATTGCCTATAGTGCTTTCAGGTTTTCAGTTGTGGTGTTATTAAGACCAATTCGTGATTTAACTGTGACAATCGATTAAAGTTAGAAATGTAGTCTCAATTGGAGAGAAAACAAATCTGCTCAGCGTTGCCTGCTGTTCAGTGAGTCGAAGTTGATTCGTCTTTTTTTGAAAATAAGCTTTTCAGAACCGGAATAAGAAGAAAAACGTTAGTGGAAGAGATTTGTATTTACATCTGATTAATCACTGTCGTGTTTGTTTAGTCCTCTAATGCTGATTGAATTCTGTCGATCAAATTGCATTGTACTCAATAATTTAAGTGACTTAAAATAGTTTGCACCATGTTAGGTAGTTGGAGTTAGTCAGGAGGAAACCCTACTCGACCTAGATTTCATTCTAGTCGACAGTCGCTAGGATGATATACTTATTTATTTATTTATTTAAACACATAAATATTGGTACAAGGAAGCACCAGATAAATATGCGCCTCACAAATCTCATTTGATTTGTGTGAGGGCTGTGATACTGCCCAGGTGCCCAGACTGAAGCAAGTGGTTTTCTTAGGGGGCCACACCCGAAGCCTTTGACCTAAAGGTCTAGTCCACAAGGCAGTGGAGCATCGTGAGGAGATGCAGTCCCATGGTAACCGGTGACCAACAATTGGTCCATACGCCGTTCGTTCCTTCAGGATACTGGAGCCCATGTACACCATTGGTTTGGAATGAGGGTTTTCCAACTCCCTCAGTTGGACTCACCGTATGCACCAACCTCGTTAAATCGCCAAACATTCGCGTTTCGTCCTCTCGATTTTGTAAACAACAGTAATGCCATGAGAAGGCAGTGAGTAGGACTTCCCTGACAGAGGCTATATAGGCGTGGCCATGTGAGAGCATTTCGGGAGGGAGAGTGAACTCTCCCCACTCTCGGCCGTACCAGGGCATTTGGGGGCAGGAAGATATACTAACTTCTTCCAATCACATTAAGTGGAAACGTTATACTGGACTGGAGCTTGATAAAATTCAACCAGCATTATAGATTAGGTAAACATGACACAAAGTACTAGCGGGTAATTAATCAATGTAAATGTCTCAATCCTACTGGAGGTCACTTGCAGCCTAACTAGCTTAATGAGTAATATCTCTGACTGTATGATTGTTGTTATGCTTTATTATGACTCGTGGCAATTAGCATGAAATTTAAGTTAGGTTAAAGATAGAAGTTAATGTAGAAAAATTCGAACAGCTCACCTCTGTCTCATGATCTTCGTGTTCATGATGTTGTTCAGACAAACTGAAAGCTCTAACAATAAAATACTCGTCTGTGAGTACCGAAACTGTGTACACCCTCTACGCAATTGATAAGCTTCACTGGTCACGACTTTTCACTAAAATAAGGAGGAATTACTCCTAGAATTTTTCTGGTTATCCTTCTCTTTTATCCGATTCGGGACTGGCATTAACTCCAAAACGTCACCAAGAGTAGTTGCTTTCAAAGTTAGCTACTAGTAAGCATATGATGATCGTTATCGCAATAAGACATTATTATGCATTCGTTTTGGAAAATATGAAATCCAATAATCTTCACAAAATTTTACTAAAACGTCAACTGCCGAACCATGTAAGTTAGTGTAGATTACCTGGTCGAGGTCCAAATTATAGTCTTAACCAATGGTTAGGAATTTAAGTTAACATAGCTCAAAATCGTCCTCAATGTGACACAGTTGCATTCATCTTTCTCTTCTATCATAAGTTTCTAAATTACCTTATAAATTTATTTTTTTAATCCCACTAATCCATATTTTCTTTTTGGATCGTATTTTGGTTGCCTAATCTTCTCTATTGTTAATTCTGGCTATACCTCACCACGCTTGACAGTTTAATCACACTATACTAATGAAGTATGATAACTTGGATTGATATACATATGTATCAAGTTCTACGTTGCGTTTGACTAACAACCGATATCAGAAGGGTGTTTTGTGGAGATTTTAGTAATTTTATATAGTTGAGATCATGAGTCAATTAAAGCTAGACCACCATGGAAAACTTGGAAGCACTGGACGACCGTTTGGTCCTATTGTGGGACTCCTCAGCTCACCAGTGACAGACTCCATGAGGTATTTGCTGGAGTTCTGGTGAGAAGCAATAACCAGTGTTGTTCAACCAGGTCTATTGTGAGATAGTAACTCACTGAAGACATTGGTGAATGGTTGCTCAATTTTGTAGATTGGTTGAAGTTAAACATTGACACTGTCGGATGCCGGCCGGCTCAGTGGCCGAGACTGATGGATCCTGGGTTCGAATCTTGCGAGGCGAGATCGTGGATGCGCACTGCCGAGGAGTCCCATGGTAGGACGAAACGGCCGTCCAGTGTTTCCAAGTTTTCCATGATGGTCTACCTTCAATTGACTCATGATCTCAACTATCTAAAATAACAAGCGATAGTAAAAATGGATATTACACATCATATAGGAATATATAAATATCATTTCTTATTTATACTTTACTCATTCTAATTTTAGATGTACAATGTCGAGGAGTTACCAGTGATATAAATCTCATTGATAAATCTATATCATCATCACATTCATTGCATTTAAGATCTTCACCTCCTTCAATTGTCCCCACTACAATGCATAATAATAATAATAATAATAATAATAATAATAATAATAATAATGGTACTACTACTTCTACTACTGTTGGAATAAATGAACACTTAATGAAATATACATATGATCATAATTTAAATCGTATTAACTTTCAATTTACTATTCAATTACCAGAATGTCATAAATCATCTATAATCAATACAGATAATCATAATAATAAAGGGAATACTACTAATATTCATAATCCCATTAATCCTCATAGTAATAAGGGGGATACTATTCATGATTCCAATTATCCTCCTAATAATAAAGGGAATACTATTTATAATACTACTCATATTTATGATCCTAATAATTCTTATCATTCTATATTAGATTACACAGATATAGATAATGATTCATTATTATGTAATCCATTACATATAAATCATATATTATATAAAATATTTAATCATAATCATACAGAATTTATTCATTTAGAATTACCTAATAAAGAGGATAGATTATTATTTTTTACATCAGTTATAATTAAATGGCCACAATTAACATTAATCGAATTATTAGATATACGTAATAATAAATCTATGCAACAATTATCTGATATACAAATGTAAGTTAATTATACTTTGGTTTTGTTTGTAAAATACTCTGGTACAGCTGAGAGTGAGGAGAGTTCACTCTCCATCACTCTCTCTCTCTCTCTCTCTCGAAATGCTCTCACATGGTCACGCGTATACAGCATCTGTCAGGTGTTGTCTTACTCACTGCCTTCTCGTGCGCTTGGGTGTTGTTTACGAAATTGAGTGGACGAAAAGCGAATGTCCAGCGATTTAACCGGGTTGGTGGACATGGAAAGTTCACCTAGGGAAGTTGGAAAACTTTGATTCCAAACCAATGGTGTACATGGGCTGGCTCGAGTATCCTGAGGGAACGTATGGCATATGAACCTAGTGTTGGTCACCGGCTACCATGGGACTGCATCTCCTTACGTTGCTTCATTGCCTTGTAGATCAGACCATTAAGTCAAATTTTCCGGTTGTGGCCCCCTAAGAAAACCACCTGCTTTAGTTTGGGCACCGGAGCGGTATCAGAGCCCTCACACAAATCAAATGAGATCTGTGCGGGGCATATATATTTGGTGCCCTCCTTGTATCAATATTTATGTGTTCAAATAAATAAATAATTAAAATAAAATAATGTGGAATTTTCCGCTGTCTTTGAATAGCTGGATCGTTTTTTTGTTTAAATAGATGTTATCTGAGTCCAAGTGTAATGAACGAGAACTGAAATGAAGTTCTATAGACGTCGTTGTGGGGTCGGAAGAGGAGTCATTTATGGTTGCCATTCGGTACATAAAGGATACGTCAAGTGCAGTATTCTTTCGGGGCGGTGTTGGATGTAGCAGTCTCTGTCTACGGCGAGATGTGGGACGTCGAAAGCGCTACGGAGGTTGGCGCGCCAGCGGGTTCGACATTATCGACAGCGAGCGCGGCGCAGACTGCTACAAGAAAGAAATTGATACCAAATTGATAGCAGAAGAACCTAAGAAGGGGGCGATTTGTGGATACTACTAATGTTGACAGATGTAAGTAGTATGTAACGTCAATCAGAAGTGGAATGCCTAACAGGTTGCTTAAGTATTAAACCACATCTCTACGTGATGATAGATAACTATATGAGCATCTAAAATATTTTAACAAATAATTCCGTTAGTGAAAGCTTGATACGCTTTTCACACCCTAATTGGAATTTGAACAGCCTACAACAGCCAACCCAATTCACCCACCGAGAGCCGATAAAAACTCTTTAGTCTAATATTTTGCTTAAACTATATCGAATACAATCTACCAATATTAAAAATATTTATTCAGCCATCAATACATTAACTTATTCCTCCTTCCTCCCTTTTTATGTTTTTGCTTTGTTACAGACCTAGTCCACAACCAGCTGTTGAAAAAGATGATGATGAAGTTTCAGGAAAGTGCAAAAAAGATAATTATCCAGTAAATCTTTCCCCTGAAGAATTAGCTATTATTGAATCTAGGGAAATGCAATTATTTCGTCGTCTTCGACAAATTCTACGTAGAGTTGTTGCACATTTAGCAAGTTTTCGTCGTTTTGCCGTATTCACTAGACCAGTTCAATTAGATGAAGCACCAGATTATTATGATGTTATTAAACAACCAATTGATTTAGGTCTTATACGTGATAAAATTGATTCACATCAATATACGAATGTAACTGATTTCATGAAGGTAATTCTGAGTGTTTCTTGTTTTTTATAGTTGAAAGCATGAGTCAATTGAAGCTAGACCACCATAGAAAACCTGGAAGTACTGGACGGCCGTTTCATCCTATTATGGGAGTCCTCAGCAGTGCGCATCCACGAACCCGCACTCGCGATATTCGAACCCAGGACATACCAGTCTCGAGCCAGAGCCCTTAACCGATCAGTTGAAGTTAGACATTAACACCGTTGGATGCCGGCTCAGTGGTTTATCGGTTAAGTGCTCTGGCTCGAGACTGGTATGTCCTGGGTTGGAATCTCGCGTGTGCAGGTTTGTGGATGCACACTGCTGAGGAGTCCCATAATGGGACGAAACGGCCGTCCTGGTTTTCCATGGTGGTGTAGCTTCAATTGATTCATGCTTTCAACTATGAAACATACTAAATCTCCACAAAACCCCTTCTTTCTTGTTTTTGTTTATGAAAAGTTGAAAATTCTTATTTATCGTACATGTTAAATCTCTCGAAGCGTCTTAATCACCCAATTGAGATACATGTAAAATGGAAGTTCACAAAACAACGATTTGTCTAAAATATTGATTATTTATGGAGTGATCTACAAAAATTAGTTACTAACCTCAACTTATGAGGTGTCTGTGGTGTTTACCGCGTCCTTTTGTCTGAAATAAAAAGTCTTCGGTTGTACAAAATGACAACCGTCGACTGTGTCTAAACTTGTTAACGGTTTATCAACAAACAATAATTGAAATAAGACCAAGCAATATGAAAACTGTTGCGTTTAAATAAGGGTTAAACAAATACAAATTGTGAATAACTGCTACAATCATTGAGACATAATGTGTTTTTCATTCTAGCAATCAGGTTTCACCAGTAAATGTATAGATGTCTCATTAGATAGAATTCCTTTGATTTCAATGCTGTGATCCACAAGTACTAGTTTCCGGTTTCTAACGTCAACAAGTATTTTAAGGGATTGTAGCAAATCAACACGGATTATGGCAACAAGAACATCAGCGACGATGAAGTTCCACGAGAAGTTGGATTTGGAACCGAAATGCAATTGTAACTGTCTTTTACCGTATGTCTTAACCTCTGATCTATTCACGGATCTCAGTTTCAGTTTGGGGTCAGGTGTCATTTTCTCTACTGTAGTAGGCGGTACCACACTAATCTCTACCCCTGTGTCGACTAAGAGCTGTGTTCTGGTTCTTCTGTCTGTGACATATAACAAACGACTGTCTTGTGAGTTGTGGCCGGTGACCGCAGTCGTCACTAATCGTCGACGAAATTGTGAATAACTGCTACAGTGATTAAGATCAAGTAGTGATGATGATAAATACAATAAATGCGATAAGTATATGTGAATATTTCACAATATTACACTACAAACTTGCGCTACAGCATAGGCGCAGAAATCGCTAGGAATACAACTATTTACTGAATAATAATAAGTGGTATGAAACAATACACAAAAGAGTCGAAGGGAAGTGAACAAGGACAGAGAATGCAAAACAGATTTAACAGTACATGTACCACGGTTCAATTGAGGTTAGACTTGTATCTGATTGAATTCCAGTTTATTTGTCTGGAGATCAAGTGTTCGTTCATATTACCGGAGGTTTTAGGTTCAATTCCTAATTACAAAGTCGTACATACACACTGCTGAGGAGTTCTATACGAGGTCGAAACGGTTATTTAGTGCTTCCAGATTTCCAATGGTTATTCGGTTAATGATTTCCATGATAACTATTATACAGCAGCAAAATTGGTCTCAATATATCAAACAGGGTGCTCGTTAAGACCGAATTTGGATAAGTACTCACCTTATGTTACCTTCAATTGTATATACCAAATTATGTGTAGATGCCGAAACGTACACATTGGGAAAACAAAAAAGAAATTTAATGTTCGCTCACTTTTATGCACATACTTATTGGAGGATATCGCTACGATGAGTTCCCTAACATAGTTTCTGCACAACCCGAAAAAAAAGATTGCTCCCCAAAGTTTCACATTTTCACCTATTCTCCCCATCATAACACTCTGGCTATCTCAGAGTAAAATAGTGCACTCTGTTACAAATTTATGTCTATGTCACATGAGTTTTAATGTATTTGTTACATTTATTCTATCATTTTGAATCCTCAATCTTTTGTTTAAATGTACAAACACGTCATTTAGCAGATAATTCTTACACTATGGCATATAATAAAAATTATCAGAAGGGGTTTTGTGGAGATTTAGTATTTTCATAGTTGAAAGCGTGAGTCAATTGAAGCTACACCACCATGGAAAACCTGGAAAACCTGGACGGCCGTTTCGTCTTATCATGGGACTCCTCAGCAGTGCGCATCCACGAACCCGCACTCTCGATATTCGAATCCAGGACCTACCAGCTTCGCGCCGGATCACTTAACCGATAGGTCATTGAGCCGGCATCCAACGGTGTTAATGTCTGACTTCAACTGATCCACGAAACGGCCGTCCAGTGCTTCCAGGTTTTCCATGGTGGTGTAGCTTCAATTGACTCACGCTTTCAAATATAATAAAAAGTTATTTAATTACAGTCCGATTTGCTTTATTTGGCTTTTATTTTTGTATGCATACTTTTACAAGGATATAGAATTAGTCTATCAAAATGCATTGGAATATAATCCACCAAATATACCACGAAGTCGAGATATTCGTTCTAGAGCATCGGAATTTTGGGATGAAGCATGTTTACGAATGGAAGAAGAATTACAACCTGTTGATTTGAATGAATTATGTGAAGAGGTATGTATATTACAATTGTTATTGTTGCTGTCTGCACTACATACACACACGACATTGCAATCATCATCATTATTGGTAGTTTTCAGCCGATTAGGTAGTTAGGATTAGTTGACAGGATGTCCCGCTCAATCCAGTTGTCGTATTGTATTTGGGACACATTAGTAAGAAATACCGGAACACTTAAGAAGGGTTTAGTGTCCCCTGTAAGATTTGAACCCGTGTCATCCAGCTTCACGTTTTGATGAGGTGTTACTATACTGAGTTGTTTGATCGTTGACTACTCTACGAAAGGTTTGAGATGTTTTACAAATGATTGGTTACTGAATATTCTCATGTTTGTTCATCCCCTTCAATGCTGATAGAATTCTGTCTGTGGATTTTCAATGTAGCCACTAATCTGAGTGGCTCGTGTGATGTTTTGAGATGTTGGGAACATAGATTTTTACTGAAGCACACTAAAATTTTCTATTCAATTTGTTTCTTTATAGATTGGTAGCTATTTCTACTTTTATTTAAAGTTATCGTTTACGTGTGTATGCTGAATTTAATGTACTCACTTAAATTGCAATTGATTGTAGGCAAATCAGGCACGTGCGGCACGTTTGTCTCATGCTCAACTAACTAAAAACCCTTCGACCTCGATGAGTCATTCAAAAATCAAAGGATCAGAGCATCAACACCTCAAGGGGACGGATCGAACATCTCAACATAAGCCATCATTACCTCTTCCACAAGGTAATCGTTATAGTCGGAGGTTGCATGTAAGTGTGGAGATAGTTGATCCTAATGGCATAAAAACTGGGAAATGTAATAATTTATAAATTGACTTATTTAATATTTTTAGGGAACTGTTGTATGCAAGTTTTTTTAATCGTTTCTTGCCTTTTGTTGGTCTTTATAGTATTGATGGAGATATTAGTTATTCATGAGAAAATTACCTTATGATCCCGACACTTTAAGATAATCCAAAATATAGCTTCACTCCTGGACCGTAAGTTTGTCTTATTTTCAAGTCACCTTTTAAATGAACCTACCATCAATACCAGGGAAAATTGTCAAAAGTGTCTCTGGACAGAACGAATGACACAATTGACTCTTAACTTCAAAATCAGCAGGTTGGATTCATTCAGATAATTTAGACGTCGCATATGACTTAGCTGTTTTATCCCATGCACAGCAACAAAATCAGACGAAGACAGTCAGTACACTATTAGCCTCTGAAGCAGTAAGTCTCAAGATTCACAATGAAAGATACAAAATCCTAAAATATGACATACCGAGCACAACTGAATCATACTTGATAGAGAAGCTCGGGTAGAGGTAGATACTTTCACGTACCTGGGCAGCATTATTGATGAACAAGAAGTATCTGATTCAGATGTAGAAACACGGATTGGCTATGCAACGGCAGCATTCCCACAACCAATACAAAAATCAGAAATTTCAGTATAAACGACTCGACAGTACCATTGTACAGAGCTGAAACTTCGGGAACTACCACAATCATAGTCAAGAAGGTACAAGCATTTATAAACAGCTGTCTACTTAAAATACTCAAGTTCGAACGTCTGATTCGGCACAAGCTGAGCCTCCCCATCGCACTAGCCTTAAGGGGGCTAATGCAAGATCGGTAAAATCCTTAGTGAACCATAGTGTCGCTACTAGGATTCAGACTGAACACCTCTAGGTTTTTTTCTGCACATTTTAAACTGTGCTGCATGATATAATATATCCGAAACTTCGTGGTCTCCCAAGGTACGTCCTGTGAACCGTGATCGGCTTGTTTGGTTATTTGTGTACTGGTTTCTAACAGAGGTCATGGTTAATCAATCACTAAACACATGCAGTTCACAACGCTATATAAACATCGCAACACATCAATGAATTAATGACAGTTTTCTTTCGAAGACACGACACAGTTAGCTTTGGTAAATCCAGTTTAACCAGACCCATGTCCGTGCGCTTAACCATTATCCCGCGTAATGTTATCACTACGGGCAGATGTCGCACCGCGCCTGTGCTTAAATGGAAAGCCTGTCGAAATCTGTCATTTAGCTCTCTTGTATCATATTTCCCAATCTTAGCACTATATGATGCCTGCAATCTCTCACCACTACAAACAATCACATCTATAACACATAACTCACTTTGCCTACACACTAATATATCAGGCTTCACATAGCTTTTGCCTTTAGATCTGTGTGGTTCCCTCATCACCGGGATCCTATTCGCCTCTGATAATCTTCCAACTTCAACACTGCTCTATTTATGTCTGGCGATACGCAATCTCTGGACGATGATGAGCTCTGGCTTGAGACTTCAGGGCCCCTACCATACAGACTGTCATACGGTAGTGTTTTCCATGCAACATACATGTCATCTGAATTGGACACCTCCAGTCCGTCAAGAGAATCTTCGTAAATTCAACGAAATGAATCGTTGAGACCGTCCAAATCAGTAATTACTTATCGAATTCCTTAAAAAGGACCTACAACAGTCATTTCAAGAGATATCAAATGATAGGTATAATAAACCCTTCTGTTAGTAAAGTCAGCAGACTATTCTGCACAACGAAAGTACCCGAAAATTTACTGTCCTGATAATTACTGTATTCGATAAGTACTTCTATCTACGTTTCCACGCGTAATATTTGTTCATCCCCCTTTGCATACAGGGTGAATCACCTATTCTGGAACTCAGTGACATTCGTCAATTACAGTCATCTAACAGGCGTCGTCGTACAATTTCTCCTAATTCTTCTTTAAAAAGTCCATCAAAGTTACAATCAAGTGAAATAGACTGTGATGTTGATGTATGGTCATCTCCTGGAGTAAGTTAACAAAAAGATTGTAACTTTTGAGTTTATATATATATATATATATATATATATATATATATATATTTCATGCCTTCCCGTGGCGAGGGTGTTGTTTACGAAATTGAGAGGAGGAAAATGAATGTCCGGTGCTTTAAGCGGGTTGGTGGACACGGAAAGTTCACCTAGGGGAGTTGGAAAACCCTGATTTCAAACCCATGGCGCACATGGGCTGGCTCCAATATCCTAAGGTAACAAATGTCGTATGAATCAATCGTTGGTCACCGGCTACCATGGGACTGCATTTGCTCACGATGCTCCACTGCCTTGTGGATCAGACCTTTAGGTCAAATAAGAGATTTATAGAGATGCTCATGTTAGCTAACTCCAATAGTAGTAAAACGAAAGAATCACAATTAATCTTATGACTTTCCGAATGCTAAACAAATCATTATATTATATGTTCCCAGTCAATTGTAGACATCTTAAATTTTCCCTTCATTGTCCATTAGTTTATGTTATCACATTATAAATAACCGCTTCAAACATGGGCATGATAAATTGTACCACTAATTTCCCGTTCAAAATTTATTGATCATAAAAAATTGTAACGATCAGTGTTATGTAGGCTACTTACTTACAAAGTACAAATACTTGTCCTTGATACATACTGTTTATTCCAGTAAACAAATTGATGGCCAGTGCTATTGAAAGTATATAAGCGGTTGTTATTTTCTGGTTATTCTCACCGTGGAGCGATACTTCTGCATGTACCTGGAAAGGAATTCAGCTTAGTGGTAGTCTTAGTGACTGAGAACTTACCACTAGAGATAAAAATATGTAGGACAAGGCAAAGTGTATTGTTTTTAAGACTAACCTTCTCCATTGGTTATTAGAAAGCATCATCATTCAAGATGCTCATTATTTGAGGGTGACACCTTACTGCTGTCACTTTCTTGAACTTTAGGTTTGATTCTTTTATTCTTACCATCCTCCATCCTACTCACTTGGCATCATAAGACCCAAAGGGACGAGTGTTCCAATCATTATAGCTCTATTACGTCATCACTGTGGAGAATCCCAACAACCACTTCAAATTTTGAGAAATCGGAGAGTAATGCTCGTTTTTACATCTAAAAATTCATTAAAAACAATGACTGATAGAAAATTCATTCCTAAGTATATCAATAACATGATGTAGATATCATACCTATTGAACAAGTCCATAGTCCAGTAGATGTCATTTTGGTACTCGGATCAAAAGATACTGGAATCTAGTTTCAACATACTGGAATTAATCTGTAGGTACTGACGAGTCCTATACATGAAAAAAATAGATGTGCATTATGAATTCTCATAGTTGAAATCATAAGTCAATTGAAGCTAGACCACCATGGAAAACCTGGAAGCACTGGACGGCTGTTTCATCCTATTATGAGAGTCCTCAGTAGTGCGCATCCACGATCCCGTACTCGCGAGATTCGAACCTCTGGTGGTAGTTAACATATACAATTTCCCATTATTGACTGTAAGCCTTTTGTTTTTTGTGGACATTTCTCCATATGCTTGTTATGTTTTTTCATTTGTATATTCTGGTTTTTTTCTTTTCTTATTCAATTTAACAGCCTACTTTAATAAAATCATTTGAAGAAAATGAATATGATTCATATCAATTAACATTGAATGGACAATGTATGTTTTACTAAGTACTTTATTATTATTATTATTATTATTATTATTATTATTATTATGGTCACTATTAATCACTTGTTACGGAATAGATCAGTTCACTTGGAACCAAGGAGATGTTCATGTATGACTATGAAAGTTTAATTAGACACGATGATCGGTAACAGTTTATCACTCCTCTTTTTTCATAGTTGAAATCATGAGTCAATTGAAGCTAGATCATTATGGAAAACCTGGAAGCACTTGACGGCCGTTTCGTCTTATTGTTGGACTCCTCAGCAGTGCGCATCCACGATCCCGTACTCGCGAGATTCGAACCCAGGACCTACCAGTCTCGCGCTAGAGCACTTAACCGATAGATCACTGAGCCAGCATCCAACGATGTTAATGTCTATCTTCAACCAATCCACGAAGTTTGAGCAACTATTCGCCAATTGTTTTTATTGAGTTGTTATCTCACAACAGACGTGGTTGAACTCCACTGATCACTGCTTCTCACTAGAATTCCAGGAAATATCTCATGAAGTCAGTCACTAGTGTGCATATGATTATAATGAGAAGGGGTTTTGTGGAGATTTCAGTCCAATGCTTCCAGCTTTTCCATGGTGGTCTAGCTTTAATTGACTCATGATTTCAACTGTGATAATACTGAAATCTCCACAAAACCCCTTCTGATCACTCTTTTTTTTCTGAAACCTAGTTTCTTGGAATTAAGGGATGGTTAATAATCGTCTTTATTTCTAAAAGTCTATTCAAAATTCAATTTAAAAAAAAGCCATGTAAATATTATCGACTGTGTATTTTACGATAGAAACGTAACCATGTGATTACCTACATTATCTTGAAACATTAACCTCTCTCCATTCGTTTAGATATTTTTTATGAATATAATTTTTATTAACTTCCTGTTATAAACGGTAGGATACTTGTTATAACGTTAGGGTTTCTTTTTATAACAGTCCTTTTACTTTTTACACATATGTGGGACGTTAATTTACCATTAGACTAATATATATACACTAGATTTCCCATCCAGTGTCGTCTATTCTACAGGACTTCAACACAAATCAAATCAAGAACACGAGATTAGCCTGACTAGAACGTCTATATATTTCCACACACCCAAAATCCGACACAATCCGACATCAAGGAACAGTCAATACATAATAAGGATAGGAGAATTTATATAATACATATAACACCTGTCACACTATCTAATGTCTGACTCAGCAAAACAACCAATCATTGTCATTCTCGCTCACACATCACTTCCACATCTCGTATAGTTTATTGATAGTTGAACTCATTTGAAAAAAAGCATAGATGTTATCATTTTATGTTATATCACCGTAGCATGAATACTGGTTATATAAGACAGGCATTTTTATGTTTATCCACAATGACTTCAGACGTTATTCAGAATAGGAGTCTGTGACAGTATTTATTATTACAATAATTTTTAAACCTTTTTAATAATACATCCATATCTATAGTTAGCATTGATGTTTACTAATCAATTGAAATGAATCTAAAACATGAAAGTTAATTACAATTATTCTATAGTTAAAACAAATAAGTAACTCCAATTTGTTTGAATAGGTCATCGATTTCTGCCATTAACCGAGTAGTTTTCATAGATAACAAATTACTTACTCCTGTTTCTCCCAATGAAGTATAGGCCGCCAACCAGCATTCTTCAACCTACTCTGTCCTGGTTCTTCCTTTCTAGTTCTATCCAGTTTTTTTCGTTCATTCTTCTCATGTCTGTCTCTATTTCTCGGAGTAATGTGTTCTTTGGTTTTCCTCTTCTCCTTTGGCCTTCAGGATTCCATGTGAGGGCTTGTCTTATGACGCAATTAGCTGATTTCCTCAAGGTGTGCCCAATCCACTTCTAGCTCTTCTTCCGCTGGAATCTGGTTTGTTGTCTCCCACAGTAGCTTGTTGCTGATAGTGTCTGGCCGACGGATTCGAAGTATTTTGCGTAGACAACTGTTAATAAACACCTGTATCTTCTGGATGATAGCTTTCATAGTTCTCCATGTCTCCAACTCATACAGTAGAATTATCTTGAGATTTGTATTAAAAATTCTGATCTTGATGTTGGTTGACAGAGAGTTGTTCTGAGTTCCAGGTGTTCTTCAGTTGTAAATATGCTGCACTTGCTTTGCCGATCCTTGCCCTCACATCTGCATCTGATCCACCGTGTTCAAATAACAAATGAACCGATACACAATACGATTACATTACTTTCAGTAAACTCTATACCTTATCATTGGTTTTAGAATATCATCAGATAAATACTGAATTCTGATTATAAACTATATAACTATACTGACTCATCATGTATCTGCTTTTAACCAATCATATTTGAGAAACGATTAAACGCTTCATTCTAATTGGTCCACTGAACGAGTAAATTATCCAATAAGATTATTATTTTCAAATCATACCATAGTAGCATAGGTCATAGTCGGAGCTGAAGAAACATGTGATTGATTACCTATTCCATCTCATACCACGACGCGCTATGCTGACTAGTATTGGGGATGGTTGGAAGAGAGTTAGGGCCGGCCAAACCAAAACGTGGCATCAGTCCTTGAAGTCACTAACTTCTATTCTGAGCTATGTTGGTAGATTCACACTACTTGGTTGGTATCCGCATGACTATCTTAACCAATGGTTGGAAGCTTTAAGTAACATGACTCAGAATCGATCACAATGGCGCAGGTGTATACACTCTTTATCTTCCCTTAAACCTTGAGAATAAAATTGCTTCATAACGTTCTTCCTTCCTATAATATATCCTCATATATAACCTTTCTTTTATATATTACCACCATTAAATTAACTACTTTTATGAATTTGGTGTTTATCTTGTTGTGGTAATGAGGTATGACAACTTGGATAGATGCGCATATGTTTGCCTGGTCCTACGTTGTAGCTGACATACAAATATTGTGTATTATACATTCGTGATAGTTTGAACAACTGAATTTTTCCAAGATTTTTTTTTCATTTATAAATTTATCGATTTATTTATTTATCTGAAGAACTCCAAAGAATTTTAAGACAACACAGAATTAAAGTATATTACAAAACAACTAACACACTTCGAAATACTTTAGTTCGATTAAAAGAAAAAAAATACCATTCATGTCTACACAGAACTGCGTCTACAAATTAAGTTGTGTCGATTGTGATGCCTTCTATATTGGTGAGTCATCTCGGGAAATCTTAACTCGCGCCAAAGAACATATCAGGTACACAAAGAAACCTCTTAATAATCTTGTAGAATTAAGTAGACTTCAGATTAAATCGGCAATAGCAGTTCACACCATCTATCCTAGTCACTCAGTCTGATATTATTTACAATTTCACACCATTACATTACAAATCAAATTCTATCCTTTGTAATTATAAAGGTCACACAGTTTTCATTATTAACAGTGCATATATACACACAAAATTACATCCATGTCGCTTATGAATCAACTTGACTGAAATGAAATGACGTGACAGTGATTTATTTAGACCCGTTTTTTGATTGATCACCTAATATTCTTTGATTGTTCCGTTGTACTATTTAAACTTGGATTAATGTTAATTTGATTATTTATTCTCTGAAGAAGTGGTTTACACTGAGTCACGAAACGTCAGAAAATTTAATTTTTCTACTCATTGGGATATTACAAATATATTTAATTTATTTATAACAATCTACCCAATACTCAATTTATTCAAAATTATCAAATCAAAACTTGGTAATGATACCTACGATTTATTTTTTTATTTTTTTTTTAGCATCAGATATATTTAAATCATCACCTTCAGAAGATTCATGTAATCGACTACGTTCCAGTCCAAAATGTCATGATTTACAATCATTTAATCAAACACCATCACCTACTCTTAATATTAGTGTGAATACTCCTCCTCCTCCTCCTCCTCCTGCTACTACTACTACTACTACTTTAACTAGTACTACAACTACTACTACTAATAATAATAATCCTAATTGTACATCAATTCAAGTAGATTTAAAAAAATTAAATCATTTTCTTAATGAAATAGTTTTACAAACTGATGGTTGGCCAACATCACAATTAATTAATTTACATACGGATTTTTCTAATTTAATATTTTGTAAATATGCACATGTTACTAATAGAATGTCATTGTCAGATGTAAGTTTTGTTTGTTTGTTTTTTATTAAAAAAAAAAACGTTCTTTGTATAGAATAGTTAAAATCTCATTTGGCATTGTGATTAACTTTTTGTAATAATAACATACAGTACTACAGTGAATTCGACTCACTCGGACTTTGATAGTGTATTAATTGATTAAAAGTGGGTCACAAGAAACTGTGTTAGACTTGTTATTATTATTATCATCGTCTTATATTACTTAAACACATATATATTGGTACAAGGGTGCACCAGATATATATGCCCCGCACAAATCTTTGTGTGAGGGGTGTGATACTGCCCAGTTGCCCAAACTTGGGACCTTTGACATAAAGGTCTGATACACAAGGCAATGGAGCATCGTGAGGAGATGCAGTCTTATGGTAGCCGGTGACCAACGATTGATTCATACGACATTTGATCGTTCAGGATATTGGAGCCAGCCCATATGCACCGTTGGTTTGGAATCAGAATTTTCCAACTCCCGTAGCCAAAATTTCCATGTCCACCAACCCGGTTAAAGTGTTTGGCATTCACTTTTCGTCCTCTCAATTTCGTAAACAACAGTAATGCCACGAGAAGGCAGTGTGTAGGACTTTCCTGACAGAGGCTACATACGCGTGACTATATGAGAGCATTTGGAGTTGGAGAGTGGACTCTCCACTTTCGGTCGTACCAGGGCATTTCGGGACCGTGTTAGATCTAAGTTTCATACTAGTTGGTACTCATCAGGATGGAGTACTTTATATCTCAAGGGGATTGATGAACCTTTTGGGACTCGAAACTAAATCAAAAAGTTTGAAACGAAACCTCAATTACAGGAGTTTTTAAGTAACTCACCCATAGTAGTGTCAACTGAATTTTTGGATGAAAAACTTAATCAAAACATTGGATAATAATTCTAGTCAATTATAACTAATTTGGGATCCATCATACATATTCATCTGTACAAGTTATGCAAAGCATTAGCCGAGCATGGTGAATTTAGCAACACGTATATATAAGGAGTATATATAAGGAGTTCAATGAATAATATAACATATGTAACCGTATGAAAAAGAACATATCAAGAATCTCGTTTAATAGAAGAGAGTGAATCCATGAAATAAATAAGTGTTGGGGATATATATATATATATATATACAGAGAGAGAGATGAATTCATGAGTCGATTTAAGCCAGACTGCCATTTCGTCCTAGTATGGGACTCCTTAGTGATGCGCATTCACACAGGACTCTTTACCCACGACTTTCGGTTTTGTGCACGAATGCCTAACCTGTAGACCATTGAGTTGGCATCTACCATGATGTTCAGTACTTTCAGGTCCTCTAGGTTAAATCGATTCATAAATACAACTACAATATCTAGAAAACCTCATTCTGTTTTACATATATATTTGTATAATTTCTTTTAATATATATATATTTTTAATTGTTTTATTTCTATTATCTGGTATTTTTCTCTCTTTTTTTTTCTTTTTTCTTGATCATTGGTAAATGAATGAATATGTCAGGATTTTGAGAAGATATTTGCAATTCATCAAAATGCACATTTTTAACTATACATTACCATATTTAGGTGTTTTGTTTTTTCAATTTTATTATTATTAGTATTATTCTTATTGTGTTTATGTTTGTAAACCTCAGGTGGGTTTTGGTTATTCTCTGTATTTCTATTTATATAATGGTATGTCTATAGGATAGATATGATTGGTATATCATGATGAATTAGGTAACATTGGCAGCTTTACATTCTTAATGTTTCCTTATCATCATCATCAATCACCATTTCACTTTCTTTTATGGTTTGTATACTTGTTGTTCTGTTTTGTGTTTGTTTTGCTAATAAGAGTTTTTTCTTCTTCTAAATAGATATAAAATTGATTAATGATTATTGTGTATTGCTTGTTTATTCTATTTGCCATTCAATTAATAATGTGTAATAAATATCTATATATAGTTTATAAGTTCATTATATATTTATATTTATTTCCTATTTAATAATAATGATTAGGTATTACTATTACTATTATGAATTTTATTAGTGTTTTGTTTTTCTCATGTTATAATACAAAATGAGAAGAGAAAAACTGATCCCCTGAACTCTCTCTCTCTCACACACACACACATATATATATATATACCCATAGGAACTAAATTTTCTAAGAAAGTATATTGCATTTTTCTTTATGTTTTCTGTAACACAAATTACTACTCAATTCCTCCCCCCCTCCTCCTCTTCTTCTTCTAGGTTTATTTCTTCTTTTTTTTCTTCTCTTCTTTTAAATCAATCCACCCCCCTCCATCCTTTTCCAAAGTATGTCTATCTTATTCTTTGTTACTATGCATCAAATATTATTAATCAGTTAAAAAATTATTATAATCTTGATTGTATTTGTTTTATTGCCAACTTTTTTTTTCTAGAGCATTTCACTAATCATAAAACACCCCTCCCCACACATACACACACATACATTATATAATGTAAAACATCCCCCCCCAAAACTCCACCACCACTTATATTCCATCCTAGTAATAATATTGAATTTTTATCTTTCTGTTTTCCTTTTGTACCCTTTATTTACTTCTATTTATGTTTATGTATTATAGGCAATTTGTATTTTTTTTGTTAAATGATTCATAATTGACTATGTGAATGTGTTTAGCTTTTCTTAATTGTTTTTGCTATAACAGTTTATTAAATAAATAAACAATTAGCCGGTTTATTAGTAAATTTTTTCAATAATTAAATAGGTATTATTCAATTTCTAGGTGAATTTTTTTTTCTATCACCTAGTTACATATTGATTATGTCATGATTGTTGTTCCATTTTTTTTTGGTATACTATGCTATTGTTGTTATACCAGGACTAGGAGTAATAATAATAATAATAATAATGATTATTATTATTATTGTTTCCATGACTTTGTAATTGTGAATAAATATGAAAATTTAAAAAAAAAATGATAATAAATTTTTGTAAGTTATAAATATATAAATTTTGTGCATATTGTTTTATATCCCGGTTTGTTTCCCTTTTTGGTCAATGGGAAAAAAATTGTTTATTAGAGATAGCTAGTTGTTTTCTTGATCGAATAGAATAGGTTTTTATGTATTGACCAAATCTGTCGCTAATTTGTTATTACTTACTTACTTACGCCTGATACCCCTCGTCGAGGAGCATAGGCCACACACTAGCATTCTGTATCCAACCCTGTCCTAAGTAATCCGTTTACAGTTCTTTCCAGTTGCTATTCATTCATTTCATATCTGTTTCTATTTCCCGAAGTAATGTTTTCTTTGACCTTCATCTTTTCCCCTTCCCTTCCGGATTACAAATTACGGATTGCCTTGTAATGTACATTGGTGATTTCCTTAATGTATGTTCTATTCACTTCCAATGTGTTTTCCTAATTTCCTTTTCAGCTGGAAGCTGGCTCGTGCTCTCACATAAAACGCTGTTGCTGATAGTATTCGGCCAGTTGGTGTTGAGTATTTTGCGTAGACATCTCTTTATAAATACTTGTACCTTGCTGATGATGGCCGTAGTAGTTCTCCATGTTTAAGCTCCGTACAGTAGGACTATCTTAACGTTCGTATGACTTTATAAATAGATAGATGTATGACAACTTGCTATGTCCGGTTTTTTATCATGTGAATTATTCACCAATGGAAATACGACTTTTCCGATCTTAACAATGTGATAAATCAATAACATTTAACTGGTGTGAGTAGTCTAGCGTTTTTATTAGTCCTTTATCCGTCTAGTTCTTCCAAATGAGTCTAGAACACTAATTACAGCTTCTGCTTTGCGAAACATTTATTTCAAGCATACTCGGTTTATATACCACACAGACAAATCGCATCACACTATAAAATAGAAAATAATATTTGTACAAGATCAAGCCAAATGTGGCTGTGAATGTGGGATACAATAATCAAATAAACTGAATAAAATTTAGGAACAGTAAATCGTTTAATAATAATAATCCATAGGTCTAAATGAAGCTTATAAGAAGATGAATATTGATACGTACAATATAATCGCTGAATAGTTAAGCCATAAGAATATATAGGATAATCGTCCATTAATAGGTCCTGGAAGTTACCTGTACTTACGTTTTCCCTAGAGTATAACATAGGTTATACACATTATTCACTATCTGATAAATATTATCTTCAATATAATCGAATTGATTGAATCAATCTCGTTAGTTGAGTACTATTCTCAGGAAGCTTATAGTTATTTATTTCATAACAAATGTTCTATATTTGAGATTTTGATCAAATGAATAAAACTATATGGGATTGGGTAAATTGTTGAGAATAAATCGGCTGGACAACCTTGATTTCAAAGTCGGTATTGTTGGAAATGCTCTTCGCAATGCCCACTTTCTTATTGCAGAAATCAATATCTATGTGAATTGTTTTCTTCGGTTCTGAAGTTATCAATAATTCTAGATTTGTAAGCTTTATGTATTCGTGTCAAAGGTCTCGATGAATACCTTATTCTTGAACAGTATTTTTCTAAGAAGGTTTAATCCTGTGCGATATCAGGATTGTTCATTTATCAAGAGAGATTTCGGTGAATTCAAATTTCCACCAACAAAAATCCATATGCAGAAGTTAAAGATTGATTAAATAAAATCCATTATTTCTGTCTCATACAGTTCAATCATTAAGATGCATATTTATTATGTAATCTTACCGCCGAAGACGGAAATCCGTGGGGTAAGGCGAGGTGTGCATTTCAGGGTCGACCTTTTCCAACCACACCCCTCCTTGTGGGAAGGTGGCATCGCTGTTATGCTGGCTGTCTGAAAAAAACCTTACTTCCGTCACACTTCTGTATAGTCGGCAGTACGAGTTCGCCTTCGGACCTTGGGATTGCTGCTTTTAGTCTTATCGCTCTTCAACCGACCTGTCTGGCATGCCAGGACCTTGAGGAACGATTGTTCCAGCCAGCATAGCTCGATTGGATCATCACGATAGGCAAGCCCGACCACCACGTCAAGGTAGCAGCAACGGTCGGGATTATGTAACATGACAAATCTATGTCAATCAAAACGTTATCTAGATTTACAATCAAGAATGTCAGTCAGTCACAACGTACAACTTCGTTCGTACGTACATCAGTTCGAGTTGCCATACCACATTAACACAGAGATGCAGTTTTCCATTCAAATCCCATAGTAGTAGAAGTAGTAAGAGTATAAGCAGTAATCAGAAAGATTAGGATTCGAAGATGTTATTCAAGGTGTATAATGCAGTGAGGTAAATTTGGAAAGAGAGAAAAGATAGAAAGATGAAGGATTCACAAGATTGGAATTTGTGAGAACACAAAGAGTGGTGATCTGGCCGTCCCTAGATTTCTTCTAACCTACTCCTACACCATAGAACATTGCACATCAGGGCAGTCGGTGGTTGGGCATATGCAACACCTGTCCCAGCCATCTTAACTGATGAAGTTTCACTACTTCATTTACATCAAGAATGTAAATTGCAACAATCTATGGATTAGAAAGAAAAGTAACAAATATTTTAGTATTCTAATCCATTAGAATATCTCATCGAGTCAAGTATGTAAATAGCGTTGTGTCAATCAATCGCCGATTCCAATACTAATACACAAACTTCCTATAGGTTTGTCCTCAAGCCAGATACTATAGTAAGGAAGAAGTAAGAAGTTTCATTGGTCAACCAAATCGTCGAATATGTTGTAGTATCAGTTTATATGTTAAGCCCATATACTTTATTCTAGTTGCTGGCCAAGCCAATTCACCAATCCATTATGAGTCATATTTTGATCTTGTTAATCATTTGCTTATTAACCTTGACTATACTTTTATATGAGCATATATGTGTACACTTCGTATCTTATTCATCAAATATGTCTGTCACTCATTTTTGTCCGACTATAAATGTTGAGTAATGCTTGCTTAAATCGAGTTGGCTTACCAGCCATCTCCCATGCATGTCATTTTTACTTCGCTCGCTAACATTTGCTCATGTGCTCACTGCCTTCTAGCCCATGTTATTTGTCAATAAAAATGTAGTTGCTACTTCCCTTTGTCTACTGATATTATACACCGTTCAGATTAATATAATAACGGTTATCGAGACGATCGATTAACGAAGCACGCCACTACATATTGGTTAGCCCGACATGCGAACACGTAATGCCTCACACACATGAATGCCTCGCCGAACGTACACTCAACATATTGGTGAGCCGTATTTGGAACACTCAACAGAAGTGGCGACCGCAACGAGCGAACCAAAAATGGACCGCCGACGACATATTCCGTTATGATTCGAATGATCATCATATGCTCATTATTACAATAATGTCATATCATCATCTAACGTGAAATTATTATTTTTGTTCTTATTGACATTACACGTTATGATATTCGAAACTCACTGGATTATTCTTATTATTCAATGATGTAAAATTTTCCTGATTTAGGTGAGTTCGTTCCAATTTTTTTTATGCCATTTTCGGTCTAATGTTACACTCTATCATCGGCATAAGTTTGGGGTCATACTCCCGATAGTAGGAACTTATGTTCTCGATAGACAACTAATGTTCATTCATCCCATTGGTACGCAGCAACCGTCGTTTCCTACATTTTCAGCGACAACCTAAACCGAACTTCCGCAATTTTTGTTTCACGATGATCGATACTTTAATGTATTTACACAAATCAAGTATTCGATGCCGCATTACCAACCGATTAGTAATGATTATGTTCATATTATCTATTCATTCACATGTATAACTGAATGCTGCATCATCCGTCACCCATAAATACTATTCGATTACTGCTATTAATTTTCTATTCCCATTGCACTGTACACCAGAACATAGAGTTTAGAGCTAGTCTCTCAAAGATACACTCTTGTTCGTCACATCCAAGTTAGTCTCACTCGCCGTCATCGATAATCATATGTATTGGTATTTTTGTTATGCCTTAATACGGTTTCGTAACAAACGAGGTTGAGCGCATATCCCTCTAACTACACAAACCACGTTAGGCTTCATGACCAAAAAAGGAATACGACTCCGCATATCTCGTCTCGGCAGTCACTAACCTGTTCCTCTGGTTATTCTACTAATACATATTTAACGATAACTCGACGCAAACGACAACGTACACTGACTTCGCATTTTATTATCATTATCAGTAGCAGTACAGCAATGAATATCAACCGTTGATGCAGTCATCATCGTACGGCTGGATTATTTTTATCCCACATGAACTTCAGGCGTATAAATTCGAATCCACTCATCGCTAATCGACGTTATTTACTCTACTGAGGTTTATTAGAACATCGTATTTCACTGTTCTTTATCGTTATATTCAGTCAGCAGCACAGAGCAACTACTGTTATACTCTATTTTCACGATATTTCGATTCGCGCATATTAACCTGTTATTTTATCGTCCAGACAGTCACGACATAAATGCATGTTGCATTTTTTGTACGCTTACTAATTTACTCATTATCACATGCTAACATTTCAATTTTTGTCCGCACCTTGACAATATTCATGTACATTTTTACATAAGTATGACACTCGTTTAATACGCTCACCCCTCACATACCACTGCAATTATCGGGTAATGTATAATTTTTTTCCCTACATGTTAACACTATTCATATACCACTTGAGTGTTATGTTTCAAAAACAGACATTTTTTTATAAATGTACTATTTTCTACAAGGGGGCTATGTAGTATCAGTTTATTTGTTAAGCCCATATACTTTATTCTAGTTGCTGGCCAAGCCAATTCACCAATCCATTATGAGTCATATTTTGATCTTGTTAATCATTTGCTTATTAACCTTGACTATACTTTTATATGAGCATATATGTGTACACTTCGTATCTTATTCATCAAATATGTCTGTCACTCATTTTTGTCCGACTATAAATGTTGAGTAATGCTTGCTTAAATCGAGTTGGCTTACCAGCCATCTCCAATACGCATCATCTTTCGCCTCGCTCTCGAGTTGGGTTATCAGCCAATCTCCATCACGCATTATTTTTGCTTCACTCTCGAGTTGGCTTGCCCGCTATCTCCAATACGCATTGTTTTCGCTTCGCTCTCCAGTTGGCTTCCCAGCCAACATCCAATGCGCATCATTTTTGCTTTGTTCCGCTCTCATCTATTGGCTTCATC